AGGATGGCATACAATATTTAAGAGAATAATTAAAACAACAAAACAAGATTTTTTGCATTGTACAAAGAAATGCAGTAGGATCCTGTTCCAGGATTCAGTCATTCCCAATGTTGTTAAATGAGTAAATATATGGATCTTCCTTTTTTCTTGACTGAATAATATGGAATAATAGCTATAAAAGCAGTCTTACTATAAGATGAAGGTCAAACCAATGGAAAATGGGAATAGTGAAGTCATATTGGAAGTATGTGTATTTTTATGGAAGAAAATAGTATTGAAAATATGATAGACGTAGGATAGAAAATAAAATGAGTAAGATCGGTTAAAACACCTTTCCTTATAGGAGCATGCCAATAGCTGCCAATTCATGGAAGAGAGAACCATTATGATTGCACGTGCATGTAAGAAAATGTTTGTATAAATATTACATTCTAATTTCAACTTCTGCTTTTGTTTTGTTTTGTTTTTAAAGAAGCGTTGCCTGAAGGATTCAGTCAGCAATTTGGTGAAGAACAGCAAAAAACTAGAGCAAAGTTTTATTCTCCTTTGCCACGGTGTGAAACTTCCCAGGTGCCAAACAATAAAAAAAAGGAAGATGATACTGAACGAAAGGTATTTTATCGGACATGGAGATCTGTGTAAAGGTGTTTTCAATGGGGGGTTTTGACATTCAATAGGAAGGAACCTAGAGACAAATCTGATTTGCATATGTTTGTTTGCCTTGATCATTTGAGCTGAGGCAAGCCATGCATTTAGTACAACTACAGTTTCTCATGTTTTTGTGGAATATTTGACTTGCCTATTGTGAGAAAAGAAAAAAACAAACCATAAGACCAGTTGAGGATAACTCTGTTTTTGTATTACTCAAAATATGGGAATATTTTTTTACAGAAATAAGTGTTTTAGAACACATCTGCAAACACATATTTAAAAGGCTTGTCAAGTTAGAGCTTTCTTAGATTTATTTATTTTATTTATTTATTAAGACATTTTTATGCCGCCCCATTCGCCGAAGCCTCGGGGCGGCTTACAACACATAAATAAAAATTAAAATATATATATTAGAATAATAATAATAATTTAATACACACACACACACACACACACACAATATAATACAATATACAATATAAAATAGGCCGCCCTGGCCAGATAAAATTCAATAGTATTAACATTTAAAATGCTGCTTAAATAAAAAGGTCTTCGCCTGGCGCCGAAAAACAAATAGATGATGTTCATGTAAGCATTTTAATATAACAGTAATTAGGCTTGCAATCTTAAATGCATAGCGGGACTGCTTTGCATTGGTCAGCTTTGATTTATGACTGTGACATGATAGGAGCAAGAACATTGGCTTCACTTTACAGAAAATATCTCTCTACTCCTAGACAGCTTGATCATATACACAAGTAGGGGCAGGCACGATCTGCCACTTCAGGAACCAGCCTTCCACATCAGGAAGGGCTAATTTAAGAAGGCAGAATGGAGAATTCTGGACTGTTCTTCGGTAACTTCCAAAGTATAATAAATGGATATGAAGTTTGTGTGTAACAGTGGAAGGTGTAATCCTTGAACCAAGAGTGTGTGCATGAGAACCATATGCAGGTAAAGCATACTTGCAGAAGTACTGCTACTAGAGTAAATGCACATTTATTTATTTAATAGTGTATAATATAATTGATTGACTGTTCTCATTTTTAAGATTCATTTAACATATTTCCAAATTCTTAACATTCTTACAATATCTAAAGGTAAACACAGAAAAACAAAAAGATATCAGCATGAAGGAATGGATCCTGCAGTATGCAGAGCAACAGAGTGATGAGGAGAAAACTGAGTCTGTAAAAAATTCAGATGAAGAAAAATTTGATCCGGTAAATTCATGTACCATTTTAAATAGATCTGGTTTTGATTGTTCATTATTTTTAAACTTCGCCATCTTAAAGTGAGCACATGCTTTATTGAGTTAAATAAGAATTCAGTGCATTTATGTCTGTGTAGTATCCATTAAATTGCCCTTTATATCTGAGCATAAGAATTATGAACATAAATGAGCAACTTTATTTAGTTGATGTAGTACAAAATGTTCTTAGCTTCTTTCACTGCTGCCATATGACTCGTTCTGCCTGAAATTGTTAGAGATAACTTCTATAGGTTGAAGGGTCACTTCTTTGCTGTCATTTGGGTAATGTTACTGAAAAAGATCCAAAGGACTTGAATTTGATCCAGTGCTAGTTTTCCTTAGAGTAGGCCCATTGCACTATATTGAGTATAATACTATTGCATTTTACAGTGTAAGGGCACTTGGTCTCAGAGTATACCAAGATTCACTGGCGGCCACTGATCAGGAATGTTACCCCTAAGGATGAAATGGCGCAAGGAGCTGCTTTTCCTTTTTACCTTTTCCAGGGAAAATTTGTCTTTTTTTCTTTCAACCAAGGAGAATAAATTGTATATAACTGCCATTTTTTGCTGCCTTGATGTTTTGTGATTCTGAATTACCAACACACTAGAAATGTGTGTGATACACTTTTACCAGTGAGGTTTGCATGCAGAGGTTCTTTCCTTCTATCTATATGGGCCAACTTTTTGCATCATTTATAGGGGATCTTACTGCAAAGTTGGTGCCCTTTTTGCCAGCCCTTTCAGTTGCTCTGAAGTTGCTTTTACTCCTTCAGAATTTGTGGTCATACAAGCTGAATACCACAATCTTGTTCTTCCATCCATTATTAGCAAGTGGCATAAGAAATTTGTAGGTTTGGCAGTGCTGGCATGGAAAAGAGGGCAGTAAGTTAAAAGTGGGTATTAAAGGAAGCCTTGAGTTACAATTTATCTGCATCTTTAAGAAAAGCTGGTGATGACTTAGTTTGCTAGGCTCTATAATATAATTTTGCTTTCATGATAACTGATTACATTATCTGGAACAGAATGAAAGGTATTTGCACTTGGCTGGGAAACTTGTGGAAGCAAAAGAACAAGCCAGTTCTTCTAAGCAAGACAAAAACAAGCAAGGACAGAAGGTGGCACAAGAAAAAATAAAGCGCATGCAGCAAGGTAGGAGCACCCAATTCAGTTGCTGTAAGCAATTTTTTTAAAATACACTTCTGGTTTATAAGAATTGTAAGCATGTATGTAATCTAAGATGCTGTTGAATTGTTTCCATTTTTTCCTTCTCTAACACTAAAACATTGTAGTAAATGGTTAAAAAGCATCTAAAATGCAGTGTTGACTGAGGCATGCTAGGATTTACAAGACTTTTTGTGTCCAAACACACATAGGACTACACCATTATGGTATATAATGCATACAGAATCCCTTAACATGCAATCCAGTGGGGATGCTAGTTAGCCTCTAAACTATGGTTTATGGTCTTCACTTCCCCACTTCTCTTGTCTGACAAATTACTTAGATGGACAGCTTTGGCTGTCTAGTTGCAGGATTTCAGATGAGGAGGGAAAGAGGCTGGAGCACTACCAGGATATGTTGTATTCTGGCAGACCCAGTCTCCTTCACTCTCTGCTTTCCAGAATATCCTGTTTATTGCTTCTTTGAGGTTGGTCTTACAACCTTGTAGAAGCAGCAAAGCATGGTACTTTCTGCACTGGCTGTGGATGGGGGAATGGAAGATCCAAGTGAGATCCCTGAGCCCTGCATTATTTGGGACCATGGTACCTGACAGAAATGGCTCTCCCAACCTCAGTCTTCCGAGACACTGTGATCAAGTTCTGGAGCCTTTTTCTGATTGCCACCTCCAAGGGGGCATGGATGATGGCAACAAGGCCTTTTCAGTGGTGGCCTCCCAGTTATGGAACTAGCTTCCCACTGAGGCCCACCTGGCACCAACTTTACTATCTTTTTGGCACCAGGTAAAGACTGTCCTCTGCTGCAGGGCCTGCTGGTTGTTAGACAGTGTTTAACAGAATCTTTTAAACATATAATTTTCTTTTTCTGTTTTTATTTGGTTTTAAATTATGTACTGCTAACTTTTATGGTGTTTTAATGTGTTTTTATATTGTTTTTAAATACACTGCTCTGAACCACCCAGAGACCTTTGGCTCTTGGGTGGTATAGAAATTAAATAAATTATATATAGGGTGTAGTCAAGGTTAATAGTGATGAAAGATTTGTGGTGCAATGTTTCATTCCTCCCACCACTCTTTATGTCAACCAAGTTCTAACCTAGCTTAAGCGGGGAAAACCACATACTTCTACCCCTGAATCTCTGAATGATCTATCATATGTTTTCTTTTGGTAGAAATGGCAGTACTGGAAGAACATCCTGTGTTCAATCCTGCTATAAAAGTTTCAAACCAACCTAGTGAAAAGAAAAAGGCACCTGTATCTCTTGAAGTGGAAGGTGCTTTAAATTTAAAAATGCTTGAAAAACCTCAGGCTTCTGAAGAACAAAAAGGTATGGAAATTTTGTTTATAACAGAGTAGCATACGTCTTCAGAAAATCTCTAGAACCCTTACAATGAAGTACAATGGGAAGATCACTCAGAGTGGCATGTTGTAAATATCTTAGTTAACAACTTTTTTTGATATGGGTCAATATCATCTGCCATATCTGATGTTGTTTAGCTTGATAGAAATTTATGGCTTGAGTTTTAAGGAACATTCTGAAGAACTTGCCTTAGTGCCTCTCAGCATCAAAATAAAAGGTTGCATCACCTTTCTCTCTCAATTGGAACCATCACATATTAATGTTAAAATTATTGTTTTCGAAACAAAGCATGGTCTTCCTGATGTATCAAACTTTCAGGTTCATAAAGTGTATTTGAACTCTAAAATAACACAATTCTTGTGTTTGTTAGTGAAAAAAAGAGAACCACAAGACATCAGGAATTTTGATTATACTACTCGAAGTTGGACTGGGAAATCACCAAAGCAGTTTTTGATTGATTGGTGCAGAAAACATTATCCCAAATCTCCAAACCCTTCTTTTGAAAAAGTTCCAGCAGGGAGGTATTGGAGGTGTAGGTATGTACTACTAGTGAAATTAACTTTTCTACTTCCAGTTTTCTACTTTTCTAATTTTTATAAGAATTGTGAATGAGTATACTTTGACAACTATACTTACTATCTTGTGGTTACATGCTGTCAAATCTCCAGCTTACTATGATTGCATGTCATCATTTTACAGAAGCAGTTTTGCATATGTTTGTGGTTCCCAATTTCCCAATTGCACAGCTCATGCCATTAGACCACTTAGCTGAAGTCTTCCCCCTCCCTCCCCACACACAAATTGGTTAGCATACAAGCAGCTAGCATAATACTAATCATACAAAAGTGATGGACAAATACTGAAAGATTAACATTTTCTCATTTTGACTCTTGCAACTTTCCCAGCATGATAGCTGCTGTACAAATTCAATTTCTTTCTGTGGGGCCTCACCAAACCTCTGTACCATAGCTATATATATATATATATTTATAACCTCTCAGTGTCTTGTAGTAAATGGGGTGGGAGAATATGAAAAACAAAACTTTTAAGTGCTTGTTTATGGAATATACTCCCCAGAGAGTTCCGCCTGGCACTGTCATTATATGTTTTTCAGCGCCAGGTTAAGACCGTTTTATTTAATCAATATTTTAATATGTTTTAATACTGAATTTTATTATTGTATTTTATTAACTTGCAGCCAGAGTGGGTCATCAATTTATTTATGCTGTAAGCCGTCCAGAGACATAAGTAATTGGATGGCATACAAATTTTATAAATAAATAAATATTTAAGTACAGCATAATGCAGCTATTAAATAATTTTTGCTGCAGTCCTGGGCAGTATTGTCTTATTGGGCAAGGTGGGACTTATTCTAAGTAAACCTGGAAAGAAATACATCGTGAAAATAAGTTCAATACAAGGCTTAATGAAACCCTCAGTTTTAAAAAGGTGGGGGCATATTAAAACACCACAGAACAGGGACAGGTACATAGAATATATGGTGGTAGGGAACAGAGGAAAATGTTTGTACTGTCATTTTGTCAGTTTTCACCACAATCGAAGGTAGAATCCATTTGAGCCATTTTACCATTTGAAGGTAAAAATCTGAAGAGAATTTGAAGTTGAAAGACATCTTTTATTAGAAAATAGAAATGACTTTTAAATCATTTGCTATTTAAACTATTTTTAAGGGTGAGAGTTACCAAGTCAGCTGATGATACAATGGTGGTGTGTCCAACAATCCTAACGGAGGATAGCATGCAGGCTCAGCATCTGGCAGCTACATTAGCACTTTATCATTTAACAAAAGGGCAGGTGAGATTTTAAATGTGATTGAATTCTAACAATTCTTTTTAAAACGTCTGTTCGTGGAGGAGGAATTGGTACACATTTATGTTTGTTCCTTAATGACCAGGGTATTGGGCAGTGACTCTTATGGAAGCTGATGGATTGGATTGTTTTTCACACTGTCTTCAGATTTTTTATTTTTTTTTTGCTAATATCAACTGGCTGGTTTGTTGGTACCTTTGCCAACCTTTGAACCAGGATACTGACATGATAGCTCCAAAGTGTCACCTCCTACATGCAATGCATCCCAAACAGTAACAACTAAGGAGCAGATGGAGAAAAACTCAGGACAAGTCCAGCTGAACATGGAATATAGCCCATGCTACAGCTTAATCCACAGCAGTGAAATGTTCTTCCATCTCTGCTACTATTACCATTGTACAGAGTCATCCAGAAGACCCTCAACTGCAGAAGGCCTTCTTCATTTGCAGCCTCATGAGCATTGGTAGTCCACTATACCATATTTATGCACTACTCTGTGGACAAAACCATTCATAATTGCTGTCACTTAGTTTTCAGTTAAAGAGTTCATGCTTCGATAATTTTCTAGTGGGTAAGACAATCAGTGCAATCCAAGTGTGGTCTAGACATGCTTCCTTACCAAAGTAGTTTTAGCTCACCAGAAGAGGTTGGCAAGGAAGATGTAATGCCTCCTTAAGGCAAAAAGCCATAATAAGATTTTTTTTAAAAGCCAGCCACAGAAGGTCTTGAAAATTATTGGCCAGTCTCAGGTCTGCTATGCATGGGCATTTATCAACTTTAAAGCAGTGACATCCCTTTATTTTACATATAGACATTGAAGTACTGTGTACACTGGTGTTTTTTCATCAAATATTTTATATTTTTGGAGTAGTTCCATATCAGTCACTTACAGAATGAGTGTTAGAGCCTTACTTATTGCTTAAGATCCAAAGTACTATGTAGGCAGTTCTCTGTGTTCTGTATGTCGAACAGTGTCTCCATGACACGTGACAAATAACTATGCAGTGGGAGAAGGGATTTCTGTGTTTGGATATTGTAGTTTGCTGTTCAGTATAAATAAAAAGCAAAGAGTTCTTCTGAATGTGTACAGATTTATGATATAGTATGGTGGGCCTTATGTTGGGTGGAAGAAATCAAATTTGGGGTGGGGGATGGGCACACCAGCCTTCTAGGCTTGCCTAAAATAGTGTGGCTATTGAAAAATAAACCTCTGTAGCACTTTCGGTAGTCATGGATTGAGCTGCTTATCGGAGAGCAAATGCCATTGAACAAAGTGGTATTTTCTTCAGGGTAAAATTCACATGATCACTCTGCAAATGTCATGCAATTCAATGAGTACTGTCCCTGTTTTAAAGTTGTGCTGTTTACCTCTTTTCTCCAGTCTGTCCATCAGTTGCTTCCTCCTACCTACAGAGTTGTTTGGTTAGAATGGAGTGATACTGAAAAGAAAAAGGAAGAAGAAAACAAGATGGAAACCAACAAGCCCCGTGACCAATTCATTGCTAAACTGTTAAATAAACTGAAACAGCAACAGACCCAGCAGCAGTTGGAAAGCCAGCCCAAAGTGTCAGAAGATGCAGAGGATTCTTGGGAAAACTTAGTTTCTGAAGATAACTTTACTGGGCTCTCTCTTGAGAGCCCTGTTACAGATGACTTGGGTCCAGTGAGGTCCCTCTTTAAAAAAATGCAGAGTACTCCTAAGTACCAGAGGCTTTTAAAGGAGAGAGAGCAGTTACCTGTATTTAAATACAGACATTCCATTATAGAAACCCTTAAAAAGCACCGTGTTGTGGTTGTAGCTGGTGAAACAGGCAGTGGCAAAAGTACCCAAGTTCCACATTTTTTGCTGGAGGACTTGCTGCATAATGAGAGAAGTCTGAATAAATGCAATATTGTTTGTACCCAACCTCGAAGGATCTCAGCAGTGAGTTTGGCGACTCGAGTGTGTGAAGAACTGGGCTGTGAAAGTGGACCTGGTGGAAGAGTAAGATGTTTTGGAGCTCATGTGTTCTAATATGCGTCAAGACTGCTTTTCAGAGAATGTAATGGAGCGCTAATGCCTTTCTAAATGATCAGCTTATACTGCTTTAGCTTGGAGCCCTGAACTGAATAAGGGGGTTGGACACAATATTCTTATTGGCCCCTTCAAGTTCTATTAATCTGTGTTTCTATGAATCAATTTACTTTTGTTGCTCAGTTATTTCAAGTAGGGCTGTTTAGTCCACCTGAAACATTGTACTGACTACCACTTCAGCAGTAATTTTGACTTCGTATGGAGCATGTTGATACTTCACCAGAGAAGTGTTACTGCAGACACCTTAGTTTCCAGCAGATTACACAAAGAACAATTCTGAATTCAGTGATACATAGTCAGAAGTTCAAAGTACAGCTGAGGGTTTTTTATATCTCTAAAAGGTGATGAGAACATAATTCTGCCAAGTATGGCTTAGCATTTTAATTACTGTGGTGTCAAGAATCTTTATGGATGGATCTGACACACTTAAACATTATATAGGTAATGTTTAAAGATTAATACCTTCTATAACCAGCATTGCTTTAGCCTATATTAAATTAGGGTATGTAATTATTTCACTTTAAGCATGCTTCTGTATGTTATGATTTCTGTGAAGAGAATGCCTGGAGATGTTTTCTAATTTAATGTTTGCCATAGGTTCAATTTGTCCATAATATACTATCTACTTAGAGATATTTTAATATAATTTCATACAACTCTATTAAATAACCACTTGTAAGTTCTACTTCTCTGCTGGTCATACTCCAAAATTCCTTACAGAAGGAATTAAGGGATTGGTATAGAGAAACTGTTACATATTAAAGCTGTGCATAGAAATACTAGTTAGAAATCTGCCTGACAAACTGCATCAAAAATTGTATCTTAGTGTAAAACCACTTACAGCAGCTATTTAGAGTAAGTAAAGTATAGAAGTCAGGTAGTGTTTCATTATGTTGAACAGTAATTTTGAATTGAACTTTGTTTGGCTTTTGAATTGAATTATACAATGAGCAAGGCTTTCCATTCTAAAGACAGCACAAAGAGCAGTGAATAATAAATTTAGTGCAGATGTCTTATATGCTAATAATGTTTTTCTTTTAAATTAAGAATTCCCTCTGTGGCTATCAAATCCGTATGGAATCCCGAACAGGCGATGCCACTAGACTGCTTTACTGTACAACAGGAGTTCTTCTACGGAAGCTGCAAGAAGATATCCTCCTTTCCAATGTGTCCCATGTTATAGTAGATGAGGTTAGCAACACTTCCATGGTTCCCCAAGGAAGAATGAAACTCTGCAAAGCAACATGTTTTATGGTCTTTCCCTCCACCTCTCCTGTTAATTCATTCTCTGTGTCTTTCAAGGTTCATGAAAGAAGTGTTCAGTCAGATTTCTTGTTAATTATTCTGAGGGAGATCTTGCACAAGCGATCAGACCTGCATCTTATTTTGATGAGTGCCACCGTGGACAGTGAGAAATTCTCCACCTATTTCACTCATTGTCCCATCCTGAGAATTTCAGGAAGGAGTTATCCTGTAGAGGTAAATCTGTAGCTGCATGCATATTATTATAATTGCTGATTCATACAAACTCGTGCATACATATCTTATTCCTTTGAACAAATTTCATAGAATGTTTAAATTGTTGGCTGAAACAAGTTGAGTGCTCACATCACCTTTTTTGTTTCATTTCCTATCCATAAGAGCTTAATGAAAAAGTAACTCACAGAGGTCCATAATGAGTGAAGGCCATTTGAAGCTTCTTTCACATGGCAAGGACTTTCTGCTGTCCCAGATAGTGTAGAGTAGCTCAGTGAGCGTATTGCCCCACAAGTGGTTTTCTACAAAATGGGGTGCTCATTAGTAAGTTGTTGTCTTTGTGGAAGTTGTTGTGCATGGGCAGTTTTTAGCAATTTCCACATGTAATTGTAATCATTTATTTATTCTAACATACTAAACTAAAACAAGATCACGCCCTAGTGCATAAGAGCACACAAATGCAAGCAGTAAAATAAAGTTGAATATAAACTCTTTTTACAAAGCTAGTAGTCATATGCAAAACAGTGATAAGAGCTGCTACTTAATATTGCAGTGGAGAATGAGAGGCTTTCCTGATTGGGATGCTTTGCATGAACTTTGAAAAAATTCATAGACAGAAGGGTTGCTGTGCTGTGTTGTGTTGGGGCACAGAGGATGAGTATCAAAGACACAGTGCCCTTAGCTGCCACCATCCAGGGCTCCAAAGACAAGAGGACACAGAAGGGGGGTGGAGGACAGCTCTTACATAGCTATACATTTTATCTTTTGTAAGCATCCACTTTAAATGCAGTAATTCGAAAAAAAGGTGTATAAACAAATTTGAGTTGATTTAAGATAATCTGCTTTTGGATTATTTCGAGTGGTAAAGATGAATGTCAGTACAATAAAATAAGTCTGAAAACAAATTAATGCCAGAACATCCCCTTATATTCTCAGACTATGTGTGTTAGCACAAGGTAAGCTTACTTCTGCTGGCTGCAATAATATAAGGATAGTAGCTGAATAGCTTGTCTGTATGGAACATAGCTGGTCCTTTCTGTGACATGTAAAAAGATCCTCTGTAGCCTTGCAAGAATAAAGAGAAAGGGGTGGGGGTGGGGGTCTTCATTGCAGAGGAGCACTGCTAATTAAAGCACTGATGGGGTTGGATGCGGCCACCTGTGCACCAGAGAAGATGGCCTCTTGGATATGGGTGAACATTATCTGTTTTTAGGTTTTTTTTAATAAGTACCTATCCAAGTAAAATGTTGCTTATCTTTTTAATACTTGGGAATATGCTCAGTTTTTTAAAAAAATAATATTAGAATTTAGTTCATTTTACACATCTCTAGGTTTTCCATGTTGAAGATGTGATAGAGGAAACGGGTTTTGTTCTGGAGAAAGATTCTGAATATTGTCAGAAATTTTTGGAGGAAGAGGAAGAAATGACAATAAATGTTACTACTAAAGGAGGAGGAATTATAAAATATCAGGTAAAATGCTACACCAACAATGATCCACCTATATGAATGCCATGAAGTTGTTACATATGGATTCCATACACCTTTTGAAAGACTTCAGGGCAGCAAATGTGGGTTTCTCTTTTTTATCCGTGAGGTAGATTGGGTTGGAATATAGAGACTACTGAGCATCGTAACTCAGCAGGGATTTGAATCCATTGATTATCCATTATGGCACTATTCCATTGCTATTGCCATTGTGCTAGAAGGCAATGTAACATACGATAGCAGTAGTCTCACATGGCATGCATACTACCCAAGAAGCCATAGTCCAAGTCCAAAGTTCTGTCCACTGTTCTACATTGGCTTTCTGAGCAGACAGTTTATACAGAATGACTATTGTGGATTGATACTTGCTTCAGTTATTACTGCGGTCTAACATATTAGTCCTTTGTGTACTGTTTAAGCAAAGACCTGCTAAAGCTAAGACTTAGTAAAATTCTGTTCAGGAAAGGTACCTCTGTCAGGTTTTTAGGAAATCTCCAGCTCCCCACACACCATAGCCCTGCTCCCTTTAGCAGGGCCCCCAACAGTATGTATGGGCTTGAGCAGGTGTTGTAGGGAGGAAGAGTGCCAAGTCTATGTACTCCAGTCTAGGTGTCTATACCTAAATCTGGGTTGAACCAGTATTGCATTTGTAATCAAAAGATAACCTTTCTAAAATAAACTTTACTTAAAATTTTGACGCTTAATATCAATTTTCTTTATATGTATTATCAGTGAGTACTTCACACATGGCACAATATTTTGAATTGAAATTATGTGAACAATAAATGACAGATTCCCATTTTATCTCATTTTAGAGCTGTTCTCTTTTCTCATTTTTAGGAATGTGTCCCGGTCCAGGCTACACAAAGCCTTGATTTAGGCCCTTATTACCAAAAGTATAGCAGTCGAACTCGGCAAGCCATCTTTTATATGAATCCCTACAAAATCAACTTTGATCTAATTTTAGAATTACTTGCATTTTTAGGTACGTGTTTAAGAATATCATATTTTAAACAACTTTGTTCTGTAATTTTCTAAGTTCTTTTTTTGAAAAAGAAAAAATAAGCCTGTCCTCCCAGACATACTGATGGACAGGGAATGTAAGGGTGTGCTCAATTGGAGTAAAGACAGTTGTTGTTGTTGTTGTTGTTGTTGTTGTTAGTCGCGAAGTCGTGTCCGACCCATTGCGACCCCATGGACAACATTCCTCCAGGCCTTCCTGTCCTCCACCATCCACCATCCCCCGGAGTCCACTCAAGCTCATGCCGACTGCTTCAGTGACTCCATCCAGCCACCTCATTCTTTGCCGTCCCCTTCTTCTTTTGCCATCTGTTGTTCCCAGCATTAGGCTCTTCTCCATTGAGTCCTTCCTTCTCATTAGGTGGCCAAAGTATTTGAGTTTCATCTTTAGTATCTGGCCTTCTAAAGAGCAGTCAGGGTTGATTTCCTCTAGGACTGACCAGTTTGATCACCTTGCAGTCCAAGGAACTTGCAGGAGTCTTCTCCAGCACCACAATTAAAGGCCTCAATTCTTCGGTGCTCAGCCTTCCTTATGGTCCAACTTTCACATCCATACATTGCAACTGGGAAAACCATAGCCTTGACTATACACACTTTTGTCGGCAGGGTGATGTCTCTGCTTTTTAGTATGCTGTCTAGATTTGCCATAGCTTTCTTCCCAAGGAGCAAGCGTCTTTTAATTTCTTGGCTTCAGTCCCCATCTGTGGTGATCTTGAAGCCCAGGAAAATAAAATCTGTCACTAGTAAAGGCAGTATATGGGTTAAATAATCCATGTGCAGTTGAGAATGAATAGGAGAGAATGGGTGCACTGCCTATAGCACACCAGCAATTTCCATTTTATTCTACAACCCACAATTAGCTCCTTCATAGATTGTAACCCTACAGTCTGTGAAAGAGATGCATTGTGGAGTAAAAGTTCAAGGAGCAGACATGTGGAAGGTCACATGCTCATTCTCTCCTGCTTATGCATGACAACCCACGGATTGTTTAATCTATGGGTTATTGTTACATGCAAACTTGATAATCCTATCACGTGCACAGGGTTCTGACACATGCTTTATTTAGCTGGTTTTCTACTTGAGGACAGGTGCTAGCTTTAATGAAGTTGCACATGTGCCCAGGTGCTATTGTTAATGATGTTGCACTAACCCTTTCAACAATTTAATTAGTTTTTTCTATGGCCATGAGAAGAAGTGGCAAGTTGCCCTTGATGTAGCAAGCACTAGTTAGGATGCATGATGAAATCAAATATGATTAATACTGGGCACAGTTAGAGTCTCCCCTGAATCTCTACCCTTCGGGGAAGGGCTAAGTAACACTTTATTTTCTTCCTAATGTATATTATTCTCTTACAGACAGAGCTCCCCAATTCAAAAATGTAGAAGGAGCTGTCTTGATTTTTTTACCAGGCCTTGCTCATATTCAACAGTTGTATGACCTAATTTCAACTGACAGAAGATTTGATCTAAGACAGAGGTAAATCAACATCTTTTTGAAAATTTGTAAAAACTTAATACAGATTCACTCGGGACTATGTACTGTCTGTGCACTATTTTAGTAGACAGGATTATGAAAAGGTGGAGAACACTGAGAAGTGTCACTTTAACAAAAGATAGAAGATTGCCAAGAGAGAGATATTATCTTCCCTGCTTTTGCTGCAACTGCTTATGCTACTTTTTCTCAATTTTGGTGTTTTTCAATTGGCAGTTGAGTAACTGGTCCCTCACAACTATGTACAAATGTGGCTATATGCATTCTCACCTTGTCAATTTCCATGTATATTATCTACTCGCCTTTGCTGCTGCCTTTGACTATGAAACATGCATAGAAATTGAACAGGCAAGGCAATGCATTATACAGCCATAACAGCATACTTATGAAAGAATAACAGGTACAATCATTTTTTAAAAAGCATACCTGTTCACCTTTCAGGGACCAAAAACACCTACACCAATTTCACAATGTTGAGAAGTTGAAAAAAAAATAGGCAGCAAATGAAAAAGGTTAGCATTCAGAATGAGGTGTGGGAAACAAGATGGGTTCTGTTACAAAGGACATGGGGGTATCATTGAGGACTGAGTGGGAAAGGAGAAGAACAACTTGATTATTCAGCACATTAGGGGTTGTTTCACAAACTATTTACTTTGCATAGTTTATATGCAGAATGATTTAGCTTATCATGTGAACCCATCAACTACATTTTTTTTTGTTTCTTCAGACACCAGTTAATAGCATTGCATTCTGTTCTATCCACTCAAGATCAAGCTGCTGCATTTACACTTCCCCCACTTGGTGTTAGAAAGGTATGATATTTAAGTCTATTCATTTGTGTGCAATCTCATAAGCCAGTTCACATGACAAATAAGCTACTTTGTCTTATTTTAATCAGCGGTGTGTGCCTTGTTCTTTCCAAAACCAAATGGAATGGCTTGTTTGACAGGAAACAACCCTTAAACAACTCATGGCCTATCATAAGGTCACTTGATGGTTGTTCCCTCTCCAACAAACTGCTGCAATTGTTCAAACAATATATCAACCCATACCTGGGCAGGGAATTAAGAAAATAGTGACTGATATGCATTGCCGATTAAAATAAGCCACTACAGTTTACAGATAGAGCTGTCCCTGTATTTCACATTGATACTGTATCCTTCCTTTCTTGCTATTCACAAATGAGATAAAATTGCTTTTCTAATCTGTTCAAGATAGCATGCAAAATAAAAACCACACTAAGTAGCTACAGTACAACTCCATAGAAAACATATTCAGTAAAATCAGTTAAAACAGATTGTTATTTAAAATAAACAAGCATAAAACTTATTATGAAAACCAACATCCCAGTTGAAATCAATGAGACTTAAGTTAACTATGCTCCAGATGGACAGGGGAATGGGTGGAAATGGCTTCTACCCTTATGTGAATGGGAGAACAAATCTGGATTTGAGCCTTCGTACACAGAGCAAACAGCCTCATTTCTAACCATCATTTCCTGACTGTAAATTAGATTGTCACACAAGTATTTGTACTTCACGGTATTTTTGTTCCTTTTGTAGATTGTTTTGGCCACCAATATTGCTGAGACAGGTATTACTATACCTGATGTTGTTTTTGTAATCGACACAGGGAGGACAAAAGAAAACAGGTAATACTCACTTGGTATGTTCTCACATACATAAATACAAACTTCATATTTTTATTCTTGAGAATTAGTACTGTGGTGCTTTTGTAATGTAAGCATATGACTCAGAAAGATTCAGCTGTGGGGCAGTATAGAAATGAAATTGATGATGATGAAGATCACCACCACCAGATAAGTCTCAAGATGCATACAGTTCAATTTGCCAATTATCCCTAAAACCCTTAAAAAGATTGGCCTTCATTTTAGACATAGCTAATTTTCATGTATTAGCAAAAACAACTGATTTCATGCAACACTTAATTTCCTCAAGAGTAGGATGCTGTCCCTTTGGAAAGCACTGATTTTGTTTTGACAACAGTGGTTCCATTCCATTGTTGAATGGTATGCCACAAATACAATGATCTTTTACAAGAAAAGTCAGATTCTACAACTGGAATGAATTGTGCATATTTCCTTGTATTTATTTTGGTTTCTGAATCTTAATTTTTGTAACACACTGAATTATTATTTGGGTAAGAAAATAAAACTTAGTATTGGAGAAGGGGGACTGAGTTGGTGCAGAAAACAACAGGTTTCCTGGGAGTTGGCCCTAAGACTGAACAGTACTAAGGAAAGACTCTGTTGGTTTTTTTTCTTTTGTAAAGTCCAACATCCTGTCTACTGTAAAACCTTACCTGTATCAGCTAATTTACAGCAGACAGTTTTTAGTTTTTTATTCAAAATATTAAAGCAGTACTTTAGGATTCTGGGCAAGTTACCCTGTTCCCATAGTAGAGACCATAGGCAGAGCTTTGGAACCCAATAGCTTCTCTGTAGATTAAATGTGGTGGGGTGGCCAGTGGACAGGCATATTTAACCTTTTCTTATCCACTTCTTAACTTGCTACATTAAGCATTTTTAATAAATGTCCACCTTCTCCCTCAGCTGATTCACTTTCTTCTGATCTCTCTGAGCCATTCCATCTTTCTACCTCACAATATCTTAGCCTTTCTTTATCAAAAGAAAGAAAGATAAGCAGGCAGAAAACTGAACACACCCCTAATGTGTGACCCATAGTAGTTTGATCCATGTTGGACTGTTACTCACCAATTAGCTACCAATGGTTTATGACTGTACAACATCTTGTTTGTCTTCATGGTTCACAGGAGCACAAAGTTCCAAACGTCTCATAGTAATGTAACAAGACAGTTTACTTCCTGGAAAATCATATAGGTCTATGCATTTTAAAACACCAGTTTCCTGTGTGATGTAGATGTTGTGTAGTGAGATATGAGCCCAGAACCTTCCAATTAGAAAAAAGGATGAAGTAAACCTTGCAGAAATCTTGAGAAACAGGCTACCAGATTTGTTTGCAGGGAAAGTTCTTGCATTTCACATTTAATTGAAGCATTATTACCCCAATTTATGCTAAATACATTTTTTCTAGGTACCATGAAAGCAGTCAGATGAGCTCACTGGAAGAGACTTTTGTCAGTAAAGCTAGTGCACTACAACGTCAAGGGAGAGCTGGGCGTGTCAGAGATGGATTCTGCTTTCGAATGTACACCAAAGACAGGTAATGCTGCTTTGACCATCACATACTGTTGTATTATAAAAGGCAGCAGTAAACGTGCAAATATGTATTCTGATTTTCACTTCGCTGTTAAATGATTACACATATTTCACTACAAACATTGCCTGCACAGTACATAAGTTCAAGGTCCTTTCACTTACTGTGAAGTTCGCAATAAGTTTTGATTAGCCTTTGGGAAAGTCAGTAGAATCAAACTAGTCAAAATTCTGATTCTAAATACCTTATTCTTTCCTGCCTTTCAGGTATCTCCAGTCAGGGAAATGACTTCCAGCTTACTGTATATTAACAGTTACCCGTATAGTTATGTACCTGTATAAATAAGCATATGAAAGAATTTAGCAGTATAAATGATCTCTTATTCTGCCTGTTTTCTGTTTTTTTTTTTAGATTTGAAAGTTTCCTAGACTACTCCGTTCCAGAAATACTGCGGGTGCCCTTGGAAGAACTGTGCCTTCACATCATGGTATTAACTTTCAGTTTAAATTATTCATTCTTTTGATTTACCAGAAAAACATGATATAGGAATGGTTTGCTACCCTGAGGCTTTCTGAAGGCCTCTTAGCAAAGAGTACAAAAAGGGTATTAGTGATTTAATACCCTATGCAGGTAAGGGAGAGATGCAGGGCCAGGAACATAGTGTTGTATCTCTCATACATGCTATGCAGGTTATGAAACCAAAGGAAAATACCTTGAATAATGTTTCACATCTCAAAATATATTGTCCATTTCCTAAAAGTCCACAAACAACACAGGTAGAAGTTGTGCTCTGTCATGAAATTCCAGAGCTGAATCCAGCCCAAATGCCTGATAGGTTACACTAGTACAGATATAAGCAAGCTGGTGCTCTCTGGATGTTTCTGATTACAGCTCCCATTATCTCTGAGCAGCAGCCATGGTTACTGGAATTTATGAGAGTTGTAATTTAAGCCAGGGTAAGGCCATTGGTAATAGAAGACCTGCTTTGCCTCTGGAAACTTAAGTTCAAGGTCCCAGGTTCAATTACCAGCATTTCCAGGTAGGGATAGGAAAGAATCCTGCCTGAAAGTTTTCAGGGCTTCTACCTGTCAGTGCTGGCAACACTGAGCTCACTGCACCAATGGTCTGACTCCGTATAAGGCAGTTTCATATGTTCCTGTGCACTGGTGTAAGCCACAAGGCATTTAACTTCAAAAGGGAAGATATGCAGATAAAGACAGCATATTCAAAAGAAGAAATTGGGACAGTTGATTCTAGCAGCTGAACTATTTATATAGTTGAGAAGACCAGGGTGGACACACAGAATTGGGACAGAACTCTTAACGTGTTTAATTATAAGCCCCAGATGGACTGTCAGAATACTTAACATTTGTGAGTAAAGATTATGAAAGATTTGGCTTTATCTTTTTCTTATCTGCTTCATTTACAGAAATGTAATCTTGGCTCTCCTGAAGACTTCCTCTCCAAGGCCTTAGATCCACCTCAGGCACAAGTAGTTGGTAATGCCATGAACCTTCTACGGAAGATCGGGGCTTGTGAATTAAGTGAACCAAAGCTTACTCCTTTAGGTCAACATCTTGCATCATTGCCAGTCAATGTAAAGATTGGTAAAATGCTTATATTCGGTGCTATTTTTGGCTGCTTGGATCCAGTGGTAAGTTAATTACTACAATTATGTTGCTCATAATTGTTCAAGGCAATGTCAGTTCTCACAAAATAAAGCAGGGTGGGTTAGAAATTTCAAATAATATATAAAATGTTGCATTAGCTGTTTTAGTGCAAACAGTTGTGCTGAGATATGCAGCAACATTTCTGAAATTAGTTTCTGTCAAAATTCCAAAGCATAATTTAAAATTGTCTGCATGTTTGTGATGTTGCTAGGAATGTAGTTAGCAGGAAAAAAAATAGCAGCATTATATCTTCTTAGTGAGATGTCAGAGGCATTGAGCATGCCATTTGGGGGTTGGGGGAAATGAGGTCTAGATGGACCCTGGTCTTGCTCCAAAAAGACAGTTCTTGTGTATCATTTTCCATCTCTGTTTCCACATCAATAACTATTTGAATTTTAAAATTGCTTCACAAAATTAGCACAAATTGCTTTCTGCTTCATAACTGTTTTAGATGTCAATATTCAGTATCAAGAAATGATCCTAAGTACGGTATCTTATTTGGAACTGAAATATGTACTAGAATAATGTGGTATGTAATGCTTAGTCCACTGTCCTGAGAAACTATTTTAATTTAAAAAAAAGATCTTGGTGGGCAGAATCATCTCATTGCTATTTTGCTATTAATGCATCTTAATTTTGGTATGGTCTACAGGCCACTCTTGCTGCTGTAATGACAGAAAAATCTCCATTTATTACACCAATTGGAAGAAAAGATGAAGCAGATCTTGCAAAATCTTCTCTGGCATTGGCAAGTTCAGACCACTTGACAATTTACAAGGCATATCTCGGGTAACTAAAGTATCCTTTCCTGGAACATTTCGGCCAAACAATACATTCTGAGAAAAGCTTTTCATCACTATTTTTTACTCTTACATTGCATTACATTTATACCCTGCCTTTTTTCCTATTGCAAGGATCCCAGAGCTACTTATATGATCCTCCTCTCCATTTTATCCACACAGCAACCCTGTGACAGGAAGGTTAGGCTGCGACTTTGTGACTGGTCCAGAGCTACCAAGTGCAGTTCATGGCTGAGTTGGGGACAAGAATTGCAGTCTCCCAAGTCCTAGTCCAACACTCTAACTACGTACTATATGATGTTGTCACACTGAGCTGCAGTAGTGTGTTGTCCCAGCATTGATATTGTGCTATGCTACGCTTTCCAAATTGGGAAAATATGGTGTTATGCCAGTTGTGTTATCCACTCACTGTATCTTCTTTCTCAGAAGAAACCTCATATGGTGCAAATACATCTTCTGAAAAGCTGTGTTTTTCACTCTCTTCTCCAACTGGATTAAGACGAGAAAGGAGAGAAAACACTGGCAGCTTCCATAACACAGTGCTGTATTTGCATTTGTCTTTTGTTCCTTAATGGAGCATTTTTCTGTAAGAAAGTTTAAATAAATAGTGGGAAAACACAGCAGTGTTGCAAACAGAAGGTAACATTATCTGGCATCACCATAATATTCCTTGAATGGGGCAGTGCAATTTCACAGTAAAGCTCTCATCTGGAAGCACTTTATTTATTTATTTATTTATTTTTCGATTTATATCCTGCCTTTTTCCTACAAAGGGCTCAAGGCAGCTTACATCATTCTCCTCCTCCATCTTATCCCCACAGCAACACCCCTGTGAGGTAGGTTGGCCTAAGAGTCTGTGACTGGCCCAAAGTCACCCAGTTGGCTCCATGGCTGAGCGGGGACTAGAACCCAGATCGCCTGAGTCCCAGTCCCATGCTCTTAGCCACTACACCACACTGTTTCCCCTTTTGTTTTCCTTTTGCTATATTTCACTTTTTCCTTCTCCAAGAGGAATAAGCAGAAAAGGATGGTGAATACATGTAGATGTAAAAAGGCCATCTTATTGCCTGGGTCAGTCATTTCCTGGTTTGCACTGAGAATCTATTTTTCATTATTGCCAGGGTCAGAAATAAGAACTGTCCTTAGAAATAAGTAGAGAAAATTTCAGTGTTACTGAGATTGGACACCAGTGTGTGCTTCCCATCCCTGAAAGGTAGCAGTAAATAAAAGAGTTTCTATTCTTCCTAACTGGGTTCTTATTTAGCATAGACATTTGCAGCTTATTAATACAAAATCTGCAAGAAATGCAGTCCATTATCCTCATAGAGCAGGTTGGAAGGTGCCGCGTCTGGAAGATCCTTGCAGTGTAGTTTACACTGAATGCTGTAGTTCAGATCCAGGTTGAGTGGTTGAACTGAGCAGTATTGTCCATTGCTTTTATCATCACATTGCCAATTAAGCTGAAACTGGTATAAAAGATCCATGTTTGCTTCTTATACTTCTACAGCAGATTGGGTGGCTGAGGATAGCAGCGAATTTGGATTCCTAGTCAAAAACCCTTCAAATGTCAATCAGTTAATTTGTTGTTGTCATATTCCATCCATTCAAGGCAGATCAGGCTCACAGATCAAGCCTCATACACTATTCGAGTGCAGCTTGCTTTCACTTTTAAATATAAATATTAAAAATTGGAGGGGAAGTATTCCACATAAAGACAGACCTACGGTGGAGCAAGGACTCCTATAGTTGAAGTCTGAGCAGATAGGACTGGCTTGATTATCAGTGGATAGTATCACCCATGACAAAGAGCAAGCTTTGTTTCCCTTTAGTATTGTCCCCAGAGTACAGCTCAAAATAATGATTGTGATTCATTCTTTTGGAAGGGGAAGTGATATGTTGGGTGGAGGGAGGCAGCATTGCATTGAAGGCTTATGAGTTTATGTCGACCACATTGGCAGTAATCTGTGGGGAAGTCAACATATGTCTGCTATACTGGGTCTTGTTGCGATTTATAAGCCCTAGCTCTTGATAAAACTTCATTGTCCTGACCAGTATTTCTGCAATAGCTATTTCTTGATATATAAACTAAGTCTCAAACTTGATAGGAAGAACAAATGATTTCAATGAAACTTAACTTTCCAAAATGTTAGCTTCCCATTATCTAAGGCTTCTAATAGTACCATTTTTAAATAATCTTTTAGCATTTATATTTAGTTGGCTGTAACTTATATCTGCAACTTAGTTTCTGGCAGAAGAATGCCGATTCTGATTGTTTGTGTTTTGACAATAGGTAACTGGAGGATCTTTTATCACTACTTTTTCTGAACACTATATATTCCCTAACAGTTATTATTATGAGTTATTATGTTATAATAAATAGGGAAGTTTTTTTCAATCTAGATGGAAAAGGGCCCGTCATGAAGGAGGGTATCGTGCTGAAATGACTTACTGCAGGAGAAATTTCCTCAATAGAACTTCATTATTAACGTTGGAGGTACCAGCACTGATTTTGTTCTTTTTCTGTCTAAGAAAGCACTGAGTGTTCATATCTAACCATTAAAATGAAACAGTAGTTTGTTTATACTTAAAGCTTAAATCATTTGAAATTATGTTTCACTGAACTGAATGGCATTCATGTTCATACAATTGCAATAAAGCAAGTGAACTAAATCCAGCTATATTCTTGTTAGGCTCTGTTTGACATAGCTGGCAAGGGAAGCCTCATATGTAAAGGAGGGCCTGAACTGCTGTCTCTTATTAAAGCGCAATATTTATGGAGATGGTACATTTTTACTACATTTGGTTGTAATTTATTAATGTAAATGACATGAAAAGTTGAATGTAGTTTGCTATAAAATGAGCACACTATGAAGAGTGTTTATTAAGCTTTTTAAATTAGGTTTGGGGTTTTGTTTAAAGCCAGCATCTTTTTTTTTGTAAATACTTTTTATTGGACACTGAAATGGAATATGTTTGCTTTCTTATCTGTTATACAAATATGTAAATAGGTCTAGTATCTTAATATCAAGTATGGTTTACTACGTAAATGAAATAAAATTGCAGTGGTTTCTGCTTCTGGAATGAAATGAAAATTGAAAAAAGAGTTGCTGTTCAAATCTTATGTAGTTAATGAATGAGTCATTAATCTATGACATAATCTGTTTCAGGATGTAAAACAAGAGCTAATCAGGGTGGTCAGAGCGGCAGGCTTTTCAGCACCCTCATGTCATCATGAAGAAACACATTCCCTCTCACTGCAAGAAATGATCCTGCTTAAAGCTGTGCTGACTGCAGGACTGTATGACAATGTGGGGAAGATATTGTATACCAAGTCTGTGGATATTACTGAGAAGTTGGCATGCATGACAGAGACTGCTCAGGGTAAAGCACAAGTGCACCCTTCTTCTGTGAACAGGGATCTGCAGACCTATGGGTGGTTGCTGTATCAAGAAAAGGTAAGCTCTGCAGCATCCTGCCAGGCAGAATAACAGACTGGTCTTAAGCAGGATTTATTATTCTATGAAAGCACAATGCCATTTAAAGCCAGTATTTTAATCAACTTGGCTGAAGCTGGCAAGTTTTATGGTATCAAGTATGTTTAGTATGCTCTACTATAATAACTCTTTTGGTATAGAAAGTAGTTTTTGACCATTTTTATATGGTTAATATAACTTCTGTCTTTAAAACAAGAATATTGGTTTCTTAGCAATATAGGTTTGATAGAAAAACATTCTGAGGATATAAGTGGTATCAAAACTAGTTTAATTGGGATAGGCAAATACCTGGTTCACATGTTGCAGTAAGTCACAGTGAGTTAATTGACCTCCAGTGTTCAAGTTCACAAAACACAAGCCTCCATGTGTCCCCACTGCTTTTTGCATATTCAAAATGTGGCTGGTGCATATCTTGCAGCCATGCAGGATAAATGGTAGCTTATTATAGCGTGTGACCTGGCCCAGTGTGTAAGTATCAAGCTTTGTTTGGCTTGCAACCATATTTACCTCAGAAAAGTCTCCCTACGCCTTTCTTTCCCACAGGATGGTCTTCAGTTAGCTTACCTGTTTCACTTATGCAACTACAAAAATGTTTCTACAAGTTCTTTTCACAGTACAAGGGCCCTTTTCTGCTTGTTATTTCATTTGTGCAATAACGTGTTCTGCACATGGAAACTACTTGCATAAAGCTTGTGCCGTTCTATATGTCAATGTGCAACCTTTTGCATAAATGCTTTTCACTTGAATTAAGTGGTTTGGTTTCTCTTCCTTATAACCTTCAGAATGGTTATTAAGGCTGTCAGATTTTCATTGGTACATGTATTATTTTAAGATTCATTTATCTTAAGAGGTTTGTGTAACAATTTCCAGGGAAAGGGAAACATCATATTGTTATATAAAGTGCAACAGTTTGATAAAGTAGCTTGTATGTCTTCCATTCAGATTAGGTATGCCAAGGTGTATTTGAAAGAGACTACTTTGATTTCCCCCTTCCCAATTTTACTATTTGGTGGAGATATAGAAGTCTTGCATCGTGAACGCCTTTTGTCTGTTGATGGCTGGATCCATTTTCAGGTATATGTGGGTTCTTTTTAGTAGTTTATGAGTTGGGAATGATTATGTCAACATATATTCTCCTTCTGTATCATCATTCAGAGTACCTTGACATGCTCTAATTGCATCAGAATCTGTAAAATATCTCTTTCTTGTGTTCCTTGATAATACATATTAAATAAATAGATATCATTTTATTAAAAGCATTTGAGTGCTGAAATGCTCAACATTGCTCTTAATGTTGGTATGACAGCATTACAATTGAAATGCTGCCACACCTACAAATTGCAAGTTTTTAGGAGCAGGAATGACAGACTAGCTTGAGTGCTCCCTCTGCTTCTCTCTACTCACCTTGAGGGGAGTGTGTGATACCTGATCTGAAAACTTAGCGATGTATTTCCCATAACCATGGTTGGGAAATCAGATCAGACCGTGCTTGTTTGGATATCACAGGAAATTTTGATTGAACAAATCAGTGCAGCTCTTAACCTGGCCATGCAGAAAGTAGAAGGGAGAGCACATGAGCTCATAGTTATCTCCCACTCTAGCACATCATGATTTGTTTGGAGTGGCAGTAAGGCATTTTAACTCAACCACTGTCTTGCAGAATTGTCTTATTTTTCTGTCCTTGGATAATGGTTTTTAAAAATTTAATATGTTAATAATGAACCACTCTGGGATAACAAAAATGTAAGATTTTAAAAGTTCCTATTTTACAGGCTCCTGTAAAAATTGCAGTCATTTTCAAACAACTGAGAACACTCATCGAGTCTGTATTAAAGCAAAAACTTGAAAATCCTAAAATGTCACTTGAAGGTAATTTTTATTATTTATGGTATTGCCATGAAAATGTTGAATACAGTGTGTACGTAAAATCTGTGGACTAACAAAACACTTGCATTCATGTTGGAGTCATCATACAACGGTTAATGTTGCTCTTCTGAGAAACATAAAAGTCACTACTTTGTGCAATTTTCTTAAATGTACAGAACTTTAAAAGCAGAGAACCTGAGCAGGTGTTCATTTAAAATTAGCCTGCTTCTTTACTTTGTTGATGCCTGTATTAAGAAAGCTAATTATCTTGATATCCTTGGTAGAATCTAGTTTGTTATGTATTTTCCCTACCCAAAAGAGTTTCAAGTAAAAGGGACCTAATCTGTATTTGCAAGGATATTTGTACTCAGATTATGTCCATTCATTGAAAGAAATAGGAAGATCGTATGCCCAGGAAGGACATGTACATAATTAATTAGAATCAGCATAAAGCTCCTGAATACAGAAAGGCTCCTTCTGTCTATGGGAGGCTTCTGATCCATTAGGGAAATCCTGCAGCTAAATTGGGAGGAGAGGCTGTAGTTATTGATTACCCCCTACCTTCTCCCTGTAAATCTGTTCTGGAGAGTTGGAAAATCCTTCAAAGCAATGACTTAAACATTGGCATGGTAATCTGACTGCACATTGGTCACTACGGACTGGTACTTTATATTGCTTTAGAAATATAACTCAACACAGGAACTGATCTCTTTGAATGTACAGCAAGGATTAAGGTACAGTATTTGGTGAGTGAGGTTGGAAGAGTTAAATGTATAAGCTCACTGGTGGAAATTCATGTGTGAGACGTTTCAGCAGTATATGTAACCATTTTTTAGACATACAATCAGCTCACAGAGGCATTCATGAGTTATTTAATCATGATATGGAAAGGACGTTTGGTATCTATAGTCCATGTCATAAATTGTACGCATCATTCTAATTTGGGGAATTGTCAAAGTAAGATAAGAATGTACCCCTTGGAACTATTCCAGAGATGGTGGTGCTGAACTTAACTTTCTAATCATTTCTAGCCTCTGTTTACCATGCAGGTAGTGATGAAGTGATGAAAGTGATTGAATTTAAATTATTTCTTACATCTTGTCATTCTTTTTTGCAGATGATAAGATTTTGAACATCATCAAAGAACTGATAAAAACAGAAAATACTATATGAAGGAAGAATTGGCTGTGACAATGGAGTCACAATAATCAAAAGAAGAAAAGTACACTTAAATAAAGAACATGCTTGCATAAAAAGATATAATGCCAAACATCATGTGGAAACTGTTCAGACTTTGCATAACTACATTTTGTATATCATTCTGTGAATAATAGGAACACATTCTAAAATAGAAAATAAATGTGAGTGCCCCAACTTCAAATGTTCTTAAATGATGGCAGCAACTCAGAAGGTTTCATATAAACATGATGAATTCATAGTTTAATTTCTGTGCAAAGCATATCATATCTTGACTGAATTTTCAAGATCAGAATTTGAATTTGTGAATTAGATTTAAGTGTTCTTTGGGAAGGCATAATGAAGAAGTGGAAGCCTTCCTTTCTTTGCCAAAATTTGTGCCACATAATTATTCACTAGATTTTTATCTACATCATGGTAAGTTGAAATAATTTATTTTAAGAAATTGTGATATTTCAGATATTATCTGCATGACAAGTTTGAGAAAACAAACTACAGATTAACATTTCCAGAAGCTGTTAGCTTTGAAGTCCCAATAATAACTTAGAACCCATCTTCTCTTCAATTGAAATTCTGTGCCTGAATTGAGTATGTACCAAACATGTATTTTTAAAGTAGTTAGTATCAAGAGCATTAAGGAATTAGCACAATTTTCTTCTTTAGAAGAAAAGAAGCAAAGGAAGAAAAGGTATAAAAATTACCTTTGTATAACCCTAAATCTTAGAGGAATTTTTCTTATCCTGATTCTTCCTCATTCTAAGCATACATTTGTCTTCCTCTATGTTTTTCCAGCTACTTCTAAATGTGGAACAGTGTTCAGTCATCAATTACCAGCTTTGAAAACTGTAATCAAGCCAAATAAAAGTCTTGCACTCAGAATCTACTGATTTTTAATATTATTCTGGTATCAAAATGTAATTAAGAACCTTTCTACATGAGGCATTTATTGTGCACTCATGATTCCTCACTGTAGTTTGTGGAAGCTTTACACAATGTTATCCTCCAGGACCTCTCACATTCTTTGCAACCATTTCTGTGGCTTTTATTTTTTAGCTCAAGGAAAGTATGGTATTATAATAGCTGTTTGAAAGGAAGAGAAAGAAAATGAGCTGTAGAGGAAAATGAGCTGTAGAGGAAAATGAGCAAGAAAACTGGAATTAGAAGCCTAAGTAACATGGCAAGTTAAATGTTCCATGTAGAAAAGCAGTAAGAGAAAAGAAGGGAAAGGATATTGTTTCTGACCAATGCTGAAGTACAGGAATGTTCCTCCTAAATCTGCCCTAGGTCTAGACTCTGTACACTAAATCAGCTTGGCTCTTTCCGTATAGTCACCAACTTGTGAACAGTTCTGATGCATAACATAAAGATGGTTTTGACTATGTGAACAAGCCCATAATTAGATCCAATGATTGGATTACAAATCTTTATCTTGCATGTAGTTGTGAACCAAAGGACATATTGGACATGTTGTCAAGAAATGGACGACATGAAACCACAATGAAATTACATTCATATATAGTCAGCATCTACATGAGCTTTTTGTGCACTATTCAATGTTAAAACTGCTTGTATTTTGAATTTAATCATTGGTAAGCTGATTTTTTTTTCTCATGGTGACATTTTTATGAAAAATATACTGTAAGAAAAAGCTTTAGAAAGCAGTTTTTTGACTTGCTGGAAAATGTGTTATGTCTCCTTTCACCAGCTGAAGCATTTTCCTGTCTTACCAGGATAATCCTGAACATTTAAAATTGAGCAAGCCCTTCAGGTAATATATATTAGCCGTAAGATTTGGAAAACAGGTGAGATAGTTCAAATACTTTCTAAACATTTTCAACCACTATTGATATATTTCTTTGCATTTTCAAGTTGAGCTTACCTTTTCTATATAAGAACTATATGGTATGGTAATTTGGGAGTTGCAGTAATATTCCTTTACAGTTATTCTATTTATTTATTTATTTATTTATTAAAATATTTCTGTGCCACCCCTTGCCGAAGCCTCGGGGTGGCTCACAACATAGAAAAAATACACAATAAATTGAAACAATAACAATTAAAATACATATATTAGAATAAAATAAGCTGCCCTGGCCAAATAAAATTCAATAATATTAACATTTAAAATGCTGCCTAAATAAAAAGATCTTCGCCTGGTGCCGAAAAACAAATAACGATGGCGCCAGGTGGACCTCTCTGGGGAGTTACATTTGTATACTCTGCTGTTCTTAGTATCGTGAAGAAAAACAATATATTAGTCTGCATCTGGCAACCCATTAAACTCGTTTACGCTAACTTCTGAGGAGATATACAGAAGATTGTAGTGTAAATGAAAGATAAGCAGAAACAATGCATGACATCATGAATAGCATGGTTACTTTTGTTGCTGAAGGCAAACTGATCCATGAGCCTCATAAGGTATTGGAAAAAAATGGTGCTGCAATTAATTTTATAAGCCCTTGTATTAGCACAGACCATAATACTGTGTAGTAATGTGCGTAAGAGGTTTTCTCTTTGTCTTGCCTTTATGAAGCATCTGTCTTGGATCAATAGAAACTGCAAAGGTCAGTGGTTTTGTAATATAAACATTGATACGTGGTTACCTAGTAAATGTTATGTTGTCATGTGCCATTGACTTATGCTGACCCCATGAATGAAAGCCCTCCAAAATGACCTGTCTGCAGCAGCCCGCTCAGCTTTTATAAATTCAAGGCTGTGGCTTCCTTTATGGATTCAATCCATCTCATATTTGGTCTTCCTTTTCTTCTGCCTTCCACTTTCCCTAACATAATTTTATCTTCCTGTGAGTCTTGCTATCTCATTATTTGTCTGAAGTATGACAACCTCAGTTTTGCCATTTTTACTTCCTGGGAAAGCTCTGGCTTGATTTGCTCTATGACCCACTTGTTCATCTTTCTGTCTGCCCAGGATATTTGCAAAGCTCTCCTCCAGCCTCCTGTTTCAAATGCATCAATTTTTTTCCTGCTAGCTTTCTTTAATTTCCAGCTTTCACATCCAAACATTGTGATGGAGAATACAATGGTATCAATTATCTTGGCCTTGATCTTTTTTAGTTCCTTCATTGCTGCCCTTCCAAGTCTCAGTTTTCTTAGAATTTCTTAGAGCTGCAGTCTCCCTTTGAATTGATGACTGAGCTGAAGTATGTAAAATGTTTCACAATTCCAATTTCTTCATTGTTAATAGTAAACTTCTGTAATTCTTTTGTGTTCATGATTTTTAATATCTTAACATTAAAATATTAATATTTTTGCAGTTCCACTTTTGCTTTTATCAGGATTCAAGTCATTGCTGCTTTCTGCTAGTAGTATGGTGTCATCTGCATATATTAAATTATTGAGGTGTCTTCCATCAATCTTCACACCTTTCTCTGATTCTAATCTAGCTTTCCTTGTGATACGTTCTGTGTACAGATCTAGCGGCTGTATAAGTGTTCCATCCGAACTGGGAACTGTGTGAATGCTACCATCTTAGTTCCAAGATGTAAGAGGAACAGGATATAAATGTATTAACAGAAATTAATAGGATAATACTGCTCATGCCCAAGACATTTTACTGGCTGTAACAAGAAAAATGATACTACTTCTCATATTCTACATGCAGAAGCCAACCAGACGGGTGGTTGAACCTTTAACACTATTAACAAAACAGTATCTTCTGCTGCACTTGAGGCCAGCAAGTTATCTTGGAAACACAAAGCAGGCTATATGGCATACACAACTTTATTCTTCAGCACTTGGCTACTGCTTCATGCATCTGCTGCCCTAAGGTAGAGGCTAATTGTAATTGTTGTTTGTTGTTAGTCGCGAGTCATGTCCGACCCACCACGACCCTATAGACAACCTATAGACAACGTTCCTCCAGGCCTTCCTGTCCTCCACCATCCCCCAGAGTCCGCATAAACTCACGCTGACTGCTTCAGTGACTCCATCTAGCCACCTCATTCTCTGCCGTCCCCTTCTTCTTTTGCTGTCAATTGTTCCCAGCATTAGGGTCTTCCCCAGTGAGTCCTTCCTTCTCATTAGGTGGCCAGAGTATTTGAGTTTCTTCTTGAGTATCTGACCTTCTAAAGAGCAGTCAGGGTTGATCTCCTCTAGGACTGACTGGTTTGATCGCCTTGCAGTCCAGGGGACTTGCAGGAGTCTCCTCCAGCACCACAATTCAAAGGCCTCAATTCTTTAGCACTCAGCCTTCCTTATGGTCCAACTTTCACAGCCATACATTGCAACTGGGAAAACTATACCCTTGACTATATGCACTTTTGTCGGCAGGGTGATGTCTCTGCTTTTTAGTATGCTGTCTAGATTTGCCATAGCTTTCCTCCCCAGGAGCAAGCGTCTTTTAATTTCTTGGCTGCAGTCCCCATCTGCGGTGATGAGCCCAGGAAGATAAAATCTGTCACTACCTTTATTTCTTCCCCATCTATTTGCCAGGAAGTGATAGAACCGGAGGCCATGATCTTAGTTTTCTTAATATTGAGTTTCTAGACAACTTTTGTGCTCTCCTCTTTCATCCGCATCAAGAGGCTCTTTAGTTCCTCCTCACTTTCTGCCTTTAGAGTAGTATCATCTGCATATCTGAGGTTGTTGATATTTCTCCCAGCGATCTTAATTCCAACTTGTGATTCATCTAGCCCCGCCTTTCTCATGATGTGCTCTGCATATAAGTTAAATAGGCAGGATGACAGTATACAGCCTTGCCGAACTCTTTTCTGAATTTTGAACCAGTCAGTAGTTCCATGTCCAGTTATCACTGTTGTTTCTTGACCCTCATATAGGTTTCTCAAGAGACAAATAAGATGGTCTGGTACTCCCATCTCTTTAAGAACTTGCCACAATTTGTGGACTCAGGAAGATGGTGGAGGACAGGAAGGCCTAGAGGAATGTTGGCCATGGGGTTGCAATGGGTCGGACACGACTTCATGACTAACAACAACAACACAATCAAAGGCTTTAGCATAGTCAATGAAGCAAAAGTAGATGTTTTTCTGGAACTCCCTAGCTTTCTCCATGATCTAGCATATGGTAGCAATTTGATCTCTAGTTCCTCTGCCTCTTCAAAACCGTGCCTGTACTTCTGGTACTTCTCAGTCCACATACTGCTGCAGCCTAGCTTGTAGGATTTTGAGCATAACTTTACTAGCATGTGAAATGAGTGCAATGGTGCAGTAGTTTGAACATTCTTTGGCATTGCCCTTCTCTGGGATCGGAATGTAAACTGACCTTTTCCAATCCTGTGGCCACTGTTGAGTTTTCCAAATGTGCTGGCATATTGAGTGTAGCACTTTTACTGCATCGTCTTTTAAGATTTTGAATAGCTCAGCTGGAATACGGTCACCTCCACTAGCTTTGTTGTTGCTCAGACTTCCTAAGGCCCATTTGACATCACATTCCAGGATGTCTGGCTCAAGGTCAGTGACTACCCCATCGTGTTTATCAGGGACATTGATCTCTTTCCTGTACAGTTCTTCTGTGTAATCTTGCTACCTCTTCTTATTCTCTTCTGCCTCTGTTATGTCCCTGCCATTTTGGTTGTTTATCATGCCCATCTTTGCATGAAACATTCCCTTCATATCACCAATTTTCTTGAAGAGATCTTTGGTCCTTCCTGTTCTATTGTTTTCTTCTATTTCTTTGCACTGTTCATTTAAGAAGGCATTCTTATCTCTTCTAGCTATTCCCTGGAATTCTGCATTCAGTTGGGTGTATCTTTTGCTTTCTCCCTTGCCTTTCGCTTCCCTTCTTTCCTCAGCTATTTGTAAAGCTTCTTCAGACAGCCATTTTGCTTTCTTGCATTTCTATCTATCTATCTATCTATCTATCTATCTATCTATCTATCTATCTATCTATCTTTTATTTATTTAGCTAGCAGACTTATATGCTGCCCCATTCGCCTAAGCCTCCGGGCGGCTTACAAATAAATATCATTAATACAGTAAAATACAGTTGGAGACATCCTAGCCAAAGTTGTTAAAATCAATAAATAAAATCAACAATGATTTTCTTTGGGATGGTTTTAGTTGCTACCTCTTGTACAATGCTAATTGCAATAGTAGGACTATTCCTGTAGTTAGAATACACAGGTAGCCTGCAGGTCTGTTTCATTGTTCCACCAGGGGGAGCAATTCACCATAACAAACAGCTGCAGGGAGCTTACAATATCTTCAAATCTATAAGCCCTGAATTTCTTTGTTACTGTGTCAGGTGCAATAACAGGCTGAGTTTTTCTTCATGGTTTATATAGGGTGGTAAAAACAATTCATTGCTGATGGAAAGCTTTGCAAATACCCTGAACTGACAGATGAACAAGTGGATCTTGGATCAAATTGAGCCAGAGTTTTCCCTAGAAGCAAAAATGGCAAAATTAAGCTATCATACTTTGTCATGAGAAGGAAAATTCTCTAGAGAAGACAGGAAAAGTCAAAGGCAGAATCAAAAAAGGAAGGATGTCTGGGAAGGAGAGGATGGGAACAGAGTCTCAGGTGCATTTTTCCACAAAGAGAAAATAGAAGCATCTGGAATAGAGACATGTGAGATCCAAGAACAGGGCTAGGGGTTATAACCCCTTCACCACAGTACCTCCTCTCATCCATTAATATTCACAGGTATTTTATAGTCAATATTTAAAAATCAATTCTTAGCATTATAATTAATTCTGACAGAAAAAAGAAAACTACTGCCCCACTCTCCCAAAGCTATGACTAAGAAACATAACAGATCAGAACACATTTGATTTTTCAATTACATGGGTCTTCAGGGCAGATTTTGTTTCTTATTATCTCTGTAGTGCCTTTGAGTCTTTGCACCCCTTTACTTTCTATTTTTAAGTAATTGGCTGCAATTTACTCTCCCTTTTTAATAAAATAAAACACTAGGCAAAACCTGCCCTCCCAAGTGCCCCATAGGTCATATGGCAGACTTTATGCTAGTATGTACATACCAGCAAGATGGGTGGAGATTCACTCATGCCTGCCCCATTATGTTTAATTTCCATTTTGGATTTAGGGGTAAAATACTTCTAGTAGCAACCAGAAACTGGCCTGTGTTACAGACTGCAAGCTTTATTGGTCTGCATGCATATTCCTTGCTTTTTAGGTCATTTAGTGGATAAAAAGTCAGGGCCATGTTTGGAAAAAATAAGGCCTGAAAAAATGAACAAAATGACTGCTTATTGTGCAGTTGGAAGGCCAAGGTCATGGAAAAATCCCATTCGGTGGCTCATTTCATACTCAAGTATCTGGAATGGTATGTGCTAGTATGGCAAGAACCCATGGCATGTGTTCTTGGATTTACAATGTTTGTTTGTTTTCTCTCTTTCTTAATATTTATGTACTGCCCCATTCCCATAGGCTCTGGGCACTTTACCAGAAATTAAACCAGAAATTATTAGTCAGTAAGAATATTGACTAATAAAAGATATTAAATAAAACTGACATCAAAATAATCTGGGAAGACCTGTCAGAAAAGATAAGTTTTTAACTGCTTCTTAAGGTGGGAAATAAGTTGCATATCTCCCAGCAGACCAATCCACAGCTTAGGGGCAACCGCAAAACCAATGTTTACCACTTGGAAGGAGCTTTGTGAGGATTTGGAACATTAGCAATGTGAAAGTTATCTGGGAAATAAATCCACGTGAAAGTATATTTTTTGTGTAACAGTGGCTCTGTTGCTGAGGAAGTGGCATCTACCAAATACAGACACTTTTCAAAGGACACAGCTTTCACCTGCTTGTCCATCTATCGCCATTATAGATTCCTTGCCGAAGTTGCAAATAAGTCTATGGGACCTTTCTTAAGCCATTCTTGAACTAGGATTGTTACTCAGTGAAAGAAGTTTTAAATGGACAATTATATTTAATCAATCTACATGTGTATAAAACAAAAACAAAGGATTTTAAAGCACATTTTGTTTCAGGATGATACCAGTAGGAATTGCAGAAGTATCTAATCAGAAGAGTTGTCCCCTTCTAGGATGACGTGTGTAGGTTTAGTAAGTTATTTGTATATAAGAAATATATATTTTTAAAGCATGAGCGGTCTGATTGAGGGTCTGCTTATGGTAAATCATTGAAAAGATTTGAACCAGCTAACCTAAGGAATGAATATAATTAATGTTCTGGCCCTGTTGTCTATTAAATATTCATTAAACCCTTAAAAGAATGAGCTGAACTGCTACAACGTAGCAAAAATGTTAGTGCCTTCCATGTGATAAATGTTGACTGTTTCTGAACGTAGTCAAAGCTGAGCCTTAACAGGCCTTCCTGATTAACGCATTCCTAGTACAGAAGATCTGCTGCAGGATATTTAGCAGTCGGGACAACGAGTACTTGAAGTCAGTGAGAAAATGGCGTCAACCTTCTTCACGGCCACGCGTTTTTCAGTTCATGCAAGGTGTTGGGAGGCTTTTCTGCACGTGAGCGAACTCCCACCCTTGGGAGACTCAGGCACGGGTTTGAAAAGCCATGCCATCCAAAACAAGAGGAAACGGGGCTTTTACAACAAAAATTTTAAAATGGTACTGTTATTGTGTTTACATAGTTACCATGTTCCAGAAAGGTAGCCAAGTTGCTGCAAAACCAACGAAGGATCTTGTGACACTTTAAAGTTTAACTCATTTATTTTGCCATGAGCTTGTCCACAAAATCTTACGCCATTGTGAACTTGTTTGCCTATAAATTGTCACAGAAACTCTTTTATGTCAATCGATCGTGTTGCCTTAGACGACTAGATTGAAAACGGCAGGCGTCTGCTGACCACGCCGCCTGGTGCGGCTCGGGGCAGAAGTGCCTCAGAAAAAGGGGTTTTCGGTCCTCGCAGAGCTGAAGAGTCGCCTGTGCGCGCCTCTCCCGCTCCAGTTGTCGGAGGGGTGCAGCAGTCACGCCAGGCAATTCAGCCCGCCAGGCGGCCGAGAGCGGTTCTTTGGCCGGGAAAGCCGACAAGGCGGAGGGGAGGGGATGTGTACGCCAGGCGGGACTAGGGGCGGGGCAGCGCTGCCCAACATATAGCCGGCTCCAGCGCATCTTCCTTCGGCGCTGCCCTGGAGGCAGCAACAGGTGTCTGAGTCTAAACATGGTGGTGACTACTCAGCCTAGTCAGGCGTGCGCTGCGGCTCTGGGCGGGCGGCTGAGCCCACCGTGCAAGCGGCGGCGGGCCGAGGACGTGACTCCTGAAGAACGGCCCGAGCCCCCGGGCGGCGTCGAAGCCGACCTGCAGCTTCGCGCGCCCGTCAAGAAAAGTAAGGCTCCCCCGTTGGGCCGGCTCCCCGCCTGGGGCAGCTCCCCGAGCCGCTGCGAGCCCATGCACCCTCTGGAGCGGCAGACCTTCCTCGACTATGGGCAAAGCTGGTACCGCTTCCGAAAGGAGCTGGAGGCCAAGTTCCACCCACTCGATCCGCTGGCCCAACAGCCACAAGTAAGGGGAGGCTAGTAGGGTTGAGATTGAAAAGAAAAGGTGTTGATGCTGCCTCTGCATTTCTGGAATGAAAAAACAGCTAAAAATATTTTTAAAATGAGATACTCAAAGATAAATGTAGACACCTTTTGTTTCTCTGAGAAACTGCGTATTTTAGGTGTTCAACATATTTTAGATTATTGTTTTCTACTCTTTATTTTCCCAAGACTATTCAGACGTGACATTGCATGTAGAGGGGAAGCGGGGTGGTGTTCGCTAGCCTAACCCTTTCGAATTGGCATAGTTCAAGATAAGATGCTGGTGCATACGCTTGTCCAAGGATTATGTCAGACCAATGGAGCCAGTAGATGAAGTGCCACATCCTCTTCTGAATATATTCTACATAATATATATGAAGTGTTCTAAAGTTGTTTTTGTTCACTTTATCTTTTATCATTTATGGAATGCCCTTTAGGAAAATGCCCAACCCTGCCTGTAGATCATCATATGTAACGATTACAGATGAATACACACGTGATAGGGAAAGCTGTATTTGGTCACTGCTTTCCAGTCCATCCTCATAAACCTGTAGATAAGTATGATTGTCCCACAGAATGGTCTATGTAGAGTTTTCATGTCCTTTTCTACAGAATGTTTTCTGTGTAGAAAAATACTGTAATATGGCATTAAGTATGGCATTAATTTAACTGTTCAGGGCATTAAGTCTTAAAGATGGAGCACACTTAGAATATTTGTAGGCATTGTATAAACAAAATAACATAAGCAGTGAGATAAGGATCCCTTTGTTGCTTTAACAGCATCTTCACTGGCACAATTTACTTATGGATTATATTTATATCAGCCTTTGTTCCTTCAAGGAACCTGATCACACACAATGATTGACAAATCAAATAAATTAGAAATACATAAAACTAGGGCTTTTTTTGTCATAGAACACACCGGAACAGTGTTCCGGCACCTTTTTTCCAATGGATTTTACGAAGTGATTTTGAATCGTAGCAGATCAGCAGCAAACATTATTAACATAGTGCCTGCAGGCTGCTTTTGTGTCTGCTATCTGCTGATAGTGAGGGTGCTGCTCAGCTGCTGGGCTTGGGATTGGTGTGTGTGGTCGCGCACTTACTGCCAGTGTGGTGAGTTCCTGCACCTTTTCTTTCTTTCCTTTTTTTTTTTTTTTTTTACAAAAAAGCACTGCATAAAACCACTTGCAGTTTTGTAAAAAGACAGCTTTGAAAAAAATTATTCAAATTAAGGATTCTCCTTACAGGTACACTCTGAAGTGCTGAGTAAATACTCTACTGTACATGGTAGGTGAGATGAGATGAAATCTGAGACAGGTATTGCAAATGCAGAACTGGAGTGGGAGTGCCAAGTCTGTTCCATTTTCTGGTTCATATCTGATCTATCACTGTCATTGTTGCATGCACTGAAATTTTTTCATGCCCTTGTCATTTTGCCCACTGTACTGAATGGCAGAATTAGAGCATAGTTGCCCATTGTTGTTTTGCTTAAGCACTGTAGTTGTTCTACTAGTGGACATTGTTTTCTCATGAACATATATTAACAGTTGCATATCACAAGTTGGTAAAATTACATATATGCTGTTTCTAGTTACCACAAATACTTTATGTAGATTAATCCTAAGGGGCTGCTGCTGAAAATAGGGGATTAGTAGCTTTGTAACCTCTTGATCTAACAGCACTTCAGCATTTTTTCAAATACAAACATTATCACTCTTTATTAGGTTTTTCTACATCCTACTTCTCCAAGGGTGAAGGGAATAGGGAAAAAATGTGTATACTGTCACATGTAATATATATGTTTTTTTCCTTAAGTGTGGATTAAAAATGGGTCAAATAAGTGAATGTGTATTGTCATCTATTTTGTTGTATATTGTTTGGTAGCTTCTGTGCCAAAACAGTGGAGTGCATGGGTTTTCTGGTTCACCCATGATTTAATGGTCATTGAGTGTTGACATTACGACAGTATACTATAAACCATATATTAACAGTGTGATTAAACACCACTGATGCTAAATATTAGCAGTTATTGTTGGTAAATTAGTGGCAATAACAATGTTCAAGAAAACAAGCTTAGCAGCACTGATAGCCCAGCAGCATGATCTACTCTTTGTTGGTGGTGTAGGCATGCCTTTCTGAGCTAATCAGAGTTAGCAGGGTATTTTGGCATAGACTTAAATCTCCCCATCTTTCCTGACAAGATGCTGACAACTGGGAATAAAGGCAGGGCTTCAAAAGAAAATAGCATCTGAACACTCTGAGATGGTGTATAGAGAGATGAACCCCATTACTGATCGCTCCCCCCGCCCCACACCAATTCCTTATTACTAAGCAGAAGACACTGATGAAAGAGGATTAGGTCTCTGTACATTTTCCTGATCATACATTCCCATTCATGATATGCATAGCAGCTAACTTTCCCTTGTAAAGAGATAAATATCTGCATTCAAATATATTAAATTCCTTATTTATAATTATTTTTTGTGCATTTTAATTAATGCAGGTCAACCAATGAGTTATGCATGGTAGAGTCTAAAATCCTGTTAAAAGATGCAAAACTATGTACTTTCTTCAATGAAAATAGAAATACACTTCATTACATACCTCAACATCTCTGTGGATGTCTGAATTCATGTCACTTGATTGTGAAAATCATTGCACATCCAAATAAAATGAACATATTTTTTCAGTTGCAGCTTGAGCTTGGCCACAGTTACCCATGCTCTGATAACCTCTCAGCTGGACTATAGAGATGTGCTCTACATGGAGCTTCCTTTGAAGAAAGTCTGGAAACTTCAGCTGGTTCAGAATAGGGCAGTGTGTTTGTTAACAAGGGCCGGTTCATGTTAACAAAGGCTGGTTCACACCAATTCCTTACTAATTGCATTGGTTACTGGTTGAGGCCTGGGCTTGTTTTGATTAAAAAAAAACCTTAAATGGCTTGAGAGCAGGGTACCTGAAGGAACACCTGCTCCCATATGTTCCTACCTGACCACCAAGAACAGTTGCAGAGGTCCTTCTGAGAACCACCCCTAAAGATGTGGTGGGGGTGGCAAACAGGAGAAGGGCCTTCTCACTGGTTGCACCCCATCTATGAAAAATTCTCCCCAGAAAAATACACCTGGTCCCCTCATTACTCGTTTTCCACCACCAGGCAAATACATTTTTATTCTCCAGACAGTTTAAGAACTGCTTATTTAATTTTTTAATATTTAAAATCATAGGATATGTTAATGATTGTTTTTTCGCTACTGTATCTGAGGGAATTTTATCAACTGTTAGAGTTATCCGTTAGAGTGTATTGTTATTTCATTTTATTGTATGGATTTTTGTTGTATACATTCTATGGTTCTTTGTATTGTTACATATTTGTTCTGGTTTGTCACTGCCCAGAGAGCTCTTGAGGGCTATAGCAGCAGTTTAAAATGTAATAAATAAATAATAGCCTACTTACTTACTTGCACAGCAGTGCTAATCATGAAATAATTCAAGGTGAGCAGTAAATTAAATTGGACAACCACAATTAAAGATTGGACAACCACATGTTGAGGATTACATGAGTGGAGTCAGCTAGAGCCAGGGGGTCAGACTAGATGGCATGGGAGGCTCCTTCTGACTCACTTTGTTTCTATGTTAAATGGCCCAAGTCTTAAAATAATTCCATGCTAATACATTGGTTCTTATTAATCATAATATAGTTTTCTGTAATACTGTAACTGGTTGTCTCTAGGTTTCATTTTTGTCTCTTTGCATTTTAAAGCCTTTTCTTCTTGGATTCCTAGATAACTGCAGAGGCTCGGTGCAAACTGATCAGCTGGCTAATTCCAGTGCATAAGCATTTTGGCTTCTCTTTTGAATCCTTATGTCTGGCAGTAAATACTTTAGACCGCTTTCTCACCACTACACCAGTGGCTGCTGATTGCTTCCAGCTCTTAGGGGTAACCTCGCTCTTCATCTCTTGCAAACAGGTACCAGAAGTATAACTATAAGACAAGATAAATCTTTAAACCATGGTGATTAGGAAAAACCAATACAGTACTAAGGAAGCTTGAATATAAATGGATCATTGGTATTATTTTGTTCAGTATTTCTTACACTGAAACTGTTTATAAAAATTGCTGCCTTTCCCCCCACTCTGAGACATTACCTTAGTCAAAGTCTCCTAACAGATTAATTTTTATATGGAAACTTACTTATATGCAAACATGTTGATTATGTGGCAGGGTGCAGAACAGAATCTTACGGTAGGGATACAGAACCTTTTTGAGCCAATGGGCAAAATTCAATTTCAGAGAAACCCATGGTGTGGGGTGACAAAGGGATATGGATTAAGGCCAATACTTTAAAACATCAGCATATTTTAGCTTCAAGATCTTACTGCCAGTAACAAAGCATTAGGAGAGGCATTTCAACATTTTAGAATGAGGAGTAAATAAATAAGGGACACCTTCCAGTAGATGGTTGAAGGAAAAGAGGTGGGGCTAGGGATCCCAAGGGAGGCTGCTTTGGCCTCTGGCTTAGGGCCTTTCTGGACAATAGAAACAAACAGATTTTCCTTTGGAACTTTACCAATCGGCAACCACTGCTAACAGTATCAGCATGAAATCCCATTCATATATCTGTAGGACGGATAATCCTACTTCAGAGGCTAAACATGCTAGTCTGTATTCTAAAGTTAAATCAAGAAAGTTTGTTGTCTTTTCTTTGCCCTTGTAATCATCTGCCCCTCACAAAGTCCTTCTGGAGGTAAAGGAGGCCCTCCTGAACAAAATGGGATGAAGCATGGCCTGCTGATGAAGGGGAAAACCAAAAAACTCAAAATACAACTGGGCAGCACAATCAGTTAGAAAAGTCCTGATTATAGACTGGATCTTTAGCAAATGTCAAAACCTTCACAGCTGGCCCCTTTTGAATTAGCAGCGGGAGGGCATTCCATAAAGTGGTTGCTGCCACAGAGAAGACCTCCTGCTTGGCAATGGGGAGCACTGGAAAATTTTCACCATACTTTTGTTTCATGAAAAATTTCCTGGTTTGTATATTCACTAAGGGCCAACAACTGTAGGGCTACTTTTTAGAATACAACTGCATAGACATTTTCAGCATCCTGAGTCTTTGTCACTTTATTCCATAGGACCACTTCTTTAGGTAATTTGTCCAGAAATGGGGTATAGCAACCAGGGTTAGTAATACAATATCCAGATCCAGGGAACACATTTCACATTTTCAGTAATGGATACAATAAGATAGCAAGCACCAGTCTATTACACAAGGATGTATTTGCCATTCTCTGGATCTATGCAGTCAGCCCTTCCCAGCTGCACTTGATAAGCTAGAATAGCCAAGGGTTGAGAAAGAGAGTATATTGGCCAAGCTACAAGTGATGTGATTTGTCCACATCTTCAGGCTTCAAGAACAAACAGATCCCCAAAAGGTAGACCAGAAGGTGCATTGGACACTTGCCCAGATACTGTACTAAAATCAGCATTTAAGTTGGCATAAAACTGAACAATTTAACCCTTGATTTCCCTGCAGAATTATCACAACAGACCTCCAAGAGCTCCAACATAGGATTTTGAAATATATATTTAAATTTGTATATACTGCCCCATTTCTATAGGCTCCCATTGACAACAAATCCTAAACCACCCAAAAAAATTCTGCTCAACAGAGGATGCAATGCAGAGAGCAAAGTAAGCACAGCAGCTGTGGTTTTGTACTCATAGATGTATCCACTAGCCACTTAAATTGAAATTAGAATCGTTTTATCTTTGAGAATATAGCTATCAGTATTAATACTTTTGAACTATTCCTTGAAATATTCCCAAATGTTATTCCATGCTTACAGTGTTGTTTCCTGGTGTGTCTTTCAGGTGGAAGTGCATCCGCCTAAAGTGAAACAGCTCCTGGCCCTTTGCTGTGACACTTTTTCTTGCCAGCAACTCTGCAACCTGGAGTGCATCATTCTGAACAAGCTCCAGTTCAACCTAGCAGCCCCCACCATTAACTTTTTCTTGGAACACTTCACTCATACAAGGATGGAGGCTTGCGAAGCTGATACCTGGGAGGCCAACAACGCCAAAGTTCTGGCAAAAGGTGTAGCTGAACTTAGCCTGGCTGACTATGCCTTTAACAAATATATGCCTTCTTTGCTGGCTGTTTGTTGTTTGGGGCTGGCTGACCAAATGTTGCAGCACCAGAAACCACTGGACCTGAACATAAGTGACTATCCAGAGGGAGTTTTGCAGGATTGCCTGAACAAACTACATTTACTTGTGTCTTTGAATGAGGACTCTTTGCCTCTGGTACTACCCCCTGAGATTTCAGATCAATGTCTGCACTTTAAAATGAGTTAACCAAGCATAAATGATTTGGAGCACTGTGTGTAGCCATACATTGGAAGTTTATATCACCCATTTTCAGTGCATTACAGAAGGCTCAATAATAGTTGCAATACCTCTAAAATAACAGTATTTACTTTTTACTTTTTATTCAATAGTGCCCAACAGGTTTTATCTATATTTATTAGTAGTGGAAGCTGTGAGATTGGTTTAGAATGCAATTGATTAAGCAATGGCTTCTTTAATCTTTTAAACATTTCAAATTAAGTTTTGCACAGTAGACTTGTATTGCACTGACATTATTTCAATAACATATTGAAGTTGTAAACATTGTATATTATGCCTATACTTATTTATTGAGATGATAGTTTAATGCTAAGCCATAGGAAGGACAACAGTAATATAAATGCATTTATCCAATAAAACTTCTATCAGTAATTATCTCTAATGGCAAGTTGTAAGCTGCTCTGTATTGTGTTCCACAATGCTGTGTACCATGTGTCCAGTGACGCTTACTGCCCGGTAAGTATGGTCAGAATTTAAACCCTATGGTCTAACTATAAATTATGGTCGCACATGAGTTGCAGTGTTGAAATGGTGAGTGAGTGATTTCATGTAGAGTAACAGCAGGGATGGAAGAGAATGTTGAATTTCTTCCCTCTTACATTCTGTTCTCTATCTGATTTTCTTTCTGTCAAACACATTTTAAAACTAGCTGAGAAGCAGCTATCAGAGAGGGATTTCATGGGGTAGAAAAGTCCAAGCTGCCTCCTACCTACCACTTCCACCATCCACCCACTCACTACTTACTGCACGTTGGTGCCACCTGTGGCCTGTCTGGCACTGTTACGTGGAGTTCAACCTTTATACATTCGCACTTTCTTCATCCTCCATTTGCCTGACACAAATTAGACTTGAACCAAAAATGCATATGGATCCTGTAAAATGTTTCAGTAGATTGCTTATCTACTTGGGGAGAGCTGTAGACAGCCTGGAATGGGAGCTGTGTATGTATGTTTCACAACTCAGTGAAGTGGGGGTAGGGAACTTTCAAATGGGGAAAAACCTCTGTTTTTCTCCCCTCCACCAAAGACCTGGTACTGTACAGAATAGATCAAATCCCAGATGATGTGAAGATCCTCTGTTCAATGCCCTAGAAAGACTGCCGGTCAAAAGAGATACTATTTATTTATTTAGACAACTTGCATGCCACCCCCTTCGCAAAAGCCTCGGGGCGGATTCCAATCATAAATAAATATCATCATACAAATACATAAAATAGTGGAGACATCCTGGCAAAGTTTTTTAAAATCAATAAATAACCTCAATAATTAAAATAACGTTTAAATTAAAAGGTCTTCGCCTGGCGCCGAAAAGCAAATAACGACGGGTTTGATAGATGAATAGTCTGATCTGACATAATGTTTCTATGTTCTTAAAGTGTTTGTGTTTTATAGTGCTAGAAGGTTCAGGTTTGGGACTCCTGGCTTGGAACTTAAGCACTTTATAGTAATGAACAGACTTGGCTTTGCAGTGGTTTGAATAGTCATTAGTTTGTTACAATGAAATTTTCAAGTAAGCTTAGACAGCTGACAGAGTAGTACACTCCTGGGCTTAACATGCCTGCCATATTTTGTATTCTAGGTTTCAGGATGGTCAGCCTAACATTTGTTCTAGGTCAACTGCTTGAAAGCATTTTTAAAGATAGAATCAGTAGGCATAGTAAGGAACAAGCCTTGCTGAAAAAAATCCAAAAGGGAAAGTCTAGTCACACCAACCTATTGAAATTCTTTGAGAATGTCAGTGAGCATGTGGCAATCTAGTAGACATTGTCCAGTTGGACTTCCAAAAGGTTTTTTACAAAGTCTCTCACTAAAGGCTCCTGAGCAAACTAAGCAGTCAGGGAATAAAAGGTGTGGGGAGGAGGAGGTCCTCTTATGGATCACTAACTGATTAAAAAACAGAAGACGGAGGGTAGGAATTAACAGCAACTTTTCTCAATAGAGAGAGGTAACCAGTGAAGTCCTGCAGGATTGTTTATTAGGACCAGTGCTTTTCAACCTATTCATACATTATCTGGAATTAGGAGTAAATAGTGAAGTGGCTAAGTTTGCTGATGATACCAGAGTATAGAACATGGAATAATCAATTCAAGTTGCAACAACCCAAACCCAGGCTAGATATCATTGTCAGAGCAATACAACAGTGGAACTAGTTGTCTAGAGAGGTTGTGGGCTTTCACACACTAGAGACATTCAAAAAGAAGTTGGACAGCCATCTGAGTGGGATGGTGTAAATTGGTGTCCTGTAACAGCACGTGTTGCACTCAATGGCCTTCATGGCCCCTTTCAACTCTACTATGCAACTATTTAGAATAGTTAAAACCATAAGGGATTGTGAGGGTCTCTAAAGTGGGAGAATCAAAATGGCAAATGCATTTCAATAAAAGTAAGTGTAAAGTAATGCATATTGGAGCAAAAAATCCAAATTCAAGTATATGCTGATCAGATCTGAGCTAGCAGTGGCTGAGCAAGAAAGGGGATCTTGGGGCAGTGGTGGACAGCTCGATGCAAGAGCTGGCCCCGTGTGCAACTGCTGCAAAAATGTGAGCCGCCCCGAGGCTGTGTAGCAATGGGGATGGCATATAAAAAACTTTACATAAATAAAAACAGCAAACTTCATGCTAGGCTTAATTAGGAATGGAATAGAAAATAAACCTGCCAAGATCTTACTCCCCTTATATACATTCTTAGTACAACTGCACTTGTGTTCATTTCTGGTCACCTTACCTGAAAAAGGACCTTAAGTTGGGAAAACAACAGAGAAAGGCAATGAATATGATCAGGGGGCTGCAGCACTTCACCCATGTGGAATGGCTACAACAATTGGGACTGTTCAGCTGAGAAAAACTGTGAGTAACAGGAGACATGCTAGAAGTGGTTAAAATAATTCCAAGTGTGAAGAAAATGTAGAGGGAAACATCTCCTTCCCTCCCCATAACACTGAAACCAGAGGTCATCCCATGAAGCCGATCGGTGGAATATTCAGGACAGACCAAAAAATGTATTTTCACACAACATCTAGTTGAACTATGGAATTTGCTGCCACAGGAAGTGGGGATGGCCGCCAATCTGGATGGCTTTAAAAGGGAATTGGATTTATTCATGGAGGAGGGGTCTATTGGTGGCTATTAGCCTTGCTGGCTGTGTGCTACCTCCTCTATGGCATGCCAACATACATGTTGGTGAGCAGCTTGGACAGGTGGCGGTCTTGCACCCATCCTGCTGGAACCTGTGAGCACCATGAGTGCACACTGCTGGACTAGATGGACCGTGGATCAGACCCAACATGGTTCGTGCGCTTGCATTCATATGTTTCACAGCTTTTGGTGTGTTGGGGAAATACAGATTCCTAGTAGAAAAAGGTTGCTTATATGTGCCTTTGTGTTATAAAATCACACCTGCAACATCTCTGTGCCTTTTTCTCAGAAAACACCTGAATTCCAAGACAGGCTTCTGTTTAGTGTTGTTTTCAAGCTGTTCCTTTAAGGGCTACTACCTTTGGCTGGAAAAGCCTTTGTGGAATGGGGCTCCCCAGGCTGTTCTTGTGCAGAGAATATTCTTTGCCAAACAAAACTGATAAGGGCAGCCAGACAAGTTTCCCTAGTAGTATTGTAGTCATCCTCATTTGCCCACAATCATCTCCAAGACCCACAATAATCCCTGTGCTCCTCTGCAGAGCTTGCACATTCTTTCTCACCTGTTCCCCTTACTTTGTCACCACCTAATCAGCTGCTATGTCATGTGACTCAGAATGTATAAAACACTCTGTGTATGTTCTAAAAGCTTGGTGGTGGTGCAGACCACTAACTGGTAGCATGCTGTTGTAAGTAACTGCAGGGGGCCTGAGTGATCTCACCAATACAAATGCTGGGGTTCAAGGCGATTCAATCTGCCCTGCAGGTCCTGGTATTCATTCTCGCCATTAGTAAAGAGGCTCTGGCAGGTTCTTTGGTGCAGAGAAGCAGATGTATGTCATCTTATTATTATAGGTGCGTGTGGTGGGGAGAAATGGGCAGTGCAGTTCCTGGACAGTGGCCTGCATGGTGCAAGATGGGGAGGGTTTTTTTTTTTTACCTCACAGCAAGATCTATGAAGCCAAATGCTAGAGGAAAGTTCCCTACCCTGGCTCCCAGCAGGATTGGAGCCCAAATTCTTCCTACTCTTGTCTTCCACCTAATATGCAAATATAAGCTTTAAGAGTTGAGAGGATTCTCTTGGCTCAACTAGGCCCCATTCCTGAAACTGCAAAAGATAGGTCACCAGAAAGGAATTCAATGGTAAAGTCACCAACACACTCTTATGCTTTGGCCCTGATGTATTTGCACTAAAGTGCAACCACAACAGCCACAGCAAGGTCCATGGCCAGAGCTCACTTTGCATTTCTTCCACACATTTGTTAAAATCTCGTATCACAAAAGACTTCCACTTAAGACAAAAGACACTGGCCACCTGCTATTTGGTGTAGTTTTTCTGTATAACAGATGCATGAGAGCAGGTTCTCTTTGTGTCTGGATGGCCTACACTCCCTTTTTTGATACCCATTTCAGCATACACTGCCACACCCCAACGGATTTGTTTGCAATATTTCTCACCACAATGTACAATGCTTTGTAAAAATGTACGTGACAGACAGCTTGTCAAGCAAACTTCTGCATGATTTTCTGCTGAGGATGCTTACATTTTAAATTCTCTACGGCTTAGAGATTAGTTGTGTGTTCCATTGTAAGCTTCCAACCTGCTGCTTAAAGCAAATTTGTACACCTATTATGCAGAGATTGTTCATAGAATGCTCCCTGTAAAACCCCTCTGAAAATGTAACTTCTTATGTCACAAATTTGGCAGCACACCTGGAATCTGTGTTTGGCTTCTTAATGGCAAGGTGTTCTACATATACACTTAGCAACACTATATAATTATTTCAGATATAGGGGAGCTGCCATTACAATTAGTTAAGGGGGATAAGCTCAAAGGAACCTTAGTTCACATGGCTCCTCACATTGCTTATCTCGAAAAATATAAACAAAAACTTTTAAAAGATGTAGATGTAAGGTGCAGTTTTGCCTTAGGAGCATCATACAATTTAACTAGAAGCCCTTCCAGCCTATGTAAGATCTGTCCACTATCCATGTTCTGTCGCTTAGACACTTTGGACATGTACAGGGGTATCTTTCATTGTTCTCCAGACCAGTGTCTACATACTGTGAGTTGGATTTAGCAGAAGGAAACTGCCAGTGTAGGGCTAAAGAATCTCTTTCAACAAGGGAACCAATTTCCATTTAAGTTCTTGGGGCTGGATTCCAGTGGTGAGTGGGGACAAACATACAAAACTGCCAGCATATTTTAGCCTATTTACTGCCATTAACTAAGCATCAAGAGAGCCATTTTGACCTATTAGGACACAGACTTATGTATGGTAGAGCTGTAAAACTTTTATCTTTAAACATGCACAAGATTGCACCCGTAGAATGGGGAAAAACTGCATAAAAGCCAGGAAACACCCACATTGGTGGTAGGGGAAAGGGGTGTAACCATCCAGAGGTTAGACTGGGGCGCCCTGAGGTTTGGCACTGCTCCACTAAGCAGAATAGATTTCCTCTCTGCAGACCCCAATGCCCTCCGGAGTGTTGGGGATTACTGGCAACTAGCAAGATTCAGCTAAATTGCAAATTCTGTACCAAGATTTGGCCCTGCTGCTCTTAAAACATCAGAGTTTCCTAAGCTATTGGAAATGCTTATTGAGGTTAGTCAATTATATTGATCAATTAATGTTTAAAAGTATTAATTACTGGAAAATAAATATGATATTCATCTTAACTATGAACGGAATACAATGGATCATCCTTATATCTGAATAGTGAATCTCAGAATACATGTCATCAGGCAAAATCTCTTGTTCTATGTCTCTTGGAGGCTGCAATGTATCTTTAATAGTTTGTCTAAATTACTGGAGATGTAACCAAGTAAGTGCTTCTTTTCACCATTTGTGTCCTGCTTTGGGTGAAGGAGTCTCTGAGTGAAGGGGCTATCCAAAAAGCAGAGTGACAAAATGCGCATATGCTTAAGCACAAAGGTTTCAGTTCTGCTGGAATCAAGGTTAGGGCAGTAGTCGAAACAGTAGGCAAAGCTCAAAACATAGGCATTACACTGTTCAGCACGGTAAAGCAGGAATCTAAGTCAGGAGCACAGCGCATCAATCACAGGGTAAGGTTCAGGAGACAAGACAAAAGCCACTGGAGCTAAAAGAACAGGATTATTACCAGTGCCAGTTCTGCAGACATTGAAGGCTTTTAATCACTGGAGCCTGCTGAGCCCTACCCAAAACTCAGTAGCAGTACATGACTGTGCCATGGTTCCATTCCACTGGATGAATTTCAACTTTTGTGGCATAATGATGTGGACAGAGCGCTTGCATTGGCCCCACCTATTACCTGCTCGCTTAATGCTTGCCCTTCTTGGTTGGTTGAAAAATCTATAGAGGAGGTTTGAGTCTGGATCCAGGAGGCTGTTAATGCCTCTCAGAGAGGGAGTGGTGTCTTCTGCTTTTAAAAAAACTGCAGTCATTGCACCACTCCTTAAGAAACCTACTCTGGACCCAGCAGATGTGAACAACTTCTGACCAAATGCCAAAATTCCCTTTTAGGGCAAGGTGATCTAGTGGGTTCTGGCCAGGCAGCTCCTGGTTCTCCTGGACGTAACTTACTATCTAGAACCATTTCAAGTGGGCTTTATGCCTGGGTTTGAATGGAAACTGCCTTGGTTGCCCTGTGGGTTGACCTTTGCTAGGAAAGAGACGGGGGAGCACAACCCTGTTGATTCTCCTGAACCTCTCAGTGGCTTTCAATACCATCAACCATAGTATCCTTCTGGAAAAGCTGGCCTGATTGGGAGTTGGGAACACCAATTTGTGGTGATTCCACTCCTATCTGGCTATGTCTCCAGATGGTGGTGCTGAGGGTCTATTGCCTTGCACCATGACCTTTGTGCCATGGAGTCCTGCAGAGGTCTGTTGTGTCCCCCACACTTTTCAACATCTACAGAGAGATCATCCAGCAGTTTGGGGTGAAGAGTGGTCAGTACTCTACCTCTCATTTTCATCATCTCCAAGAGAGGCAGTGACTGTTCTAAACCTGTGCCTGAGCTCGATAAGTAACCCAGCCATATATTAACAATATTCATACTTCCATGTTCCTGGAATATGTGGTTCTTGCTCCCCAATAATTCTATCTAGCTAGCTGTGGTAATCTTCAAAGTAGTGGAGATACATGTTGTGGTGCTACTGCAGAGAGATGTATGTAAACATGACATTGGTTCCTATGATGCAACAACTGAGTTTCAGCACAACCAGGTAAAAAATATTTAAGATATGTCTACATCATCTACATAAGGAAATGAGAATCCACCAACCTAAGGAATAGCTTGTTCACATGACTTGATAACGGTAGTATCAAGTAGGGATTTGATATGTGGATTATTCATTGCAGATTGACATTTCTGACTGAATTTTCACATAAAATAAACCTCATTGATGATGCTTTTAAATATAATTTCAGTATACTAATTTCACATAGTCTTCTGTTTGACATCGGAGAGATTGTATGGTGGAAATTGTAAGGTGTTGCGGTGGCTTCCCTGACTATACCATTCAGATCAGAAATGGTAAATACCAGTTTCAAATGCTTCCCACCTTAAACCTAAACTAAAAACTGTCCTGCAAGTAGAAAACTAGCACATCAAAGAAAGTGGTTTTTGCATAGTTCTTTGCTGGTTTTCTCTTTTCAGGAAGTTGTCATTTTCAATATAAGGGAACATTTTAAAAAATTCCCTTCCTGCAGTTGGAAACAGTGCAGCCTCATCTACCCATCAGCATTCCTGAACTGCAACCCATTGAGCATGCAATGGGGTAGGCGTGTGTCTTGCTAAGCAATCTAGGAATGAAAAATCAAGAAATTAGTTTTACACTGCATTCATATCTGAATTTTTTCCCCTGTTCTGAGAATCCCAGGGTGATTTTTGTAGTCCTCCTTCACTCATGTTCATCCTCAAAAGGACAAGACGGTTAGCGCCACAAGTGAAAATGGACGCAAGGAGAAGGAGTAAAGAAAGGCATTCTCAAAGGCATCCGCACATTTCTCGTGCTGGGCAGACCCAGGCACAAACAGAGCTCTGATTTGCTTTTTTCGGATCCTGAAGACTTAAGCCAAAGCTCAGTTCTCGCTCCTCTCCGCACGTCGGTTGGCCGCGGCGCCAATGTGCAGCGAAAGGGCGCAATTTGGTGTGTGGGCTCCGAGGCAGCAACGGCGGCTGCATCTAATCCCGGGGTGGGAGGAGGACAGAGAGAGGAGGGGTCGGGGCTGGGCTCCCTTGTTGCCAGGCTGGATGGTGCCAAGAAGGCGAAGGCGCCACCTCTGGCGCTCAATCGGCAGCCGGCCGGCAGGCCCGCCTCCCCTCGCTCCTCACTCTTTCTTCCCCAGAGAAGCTGCCCTGCTCCTCGCCCAGCGTGGGCAGAGCAAGCCCAGCCAACTGATAGCTGCATCCCCGGCGGCGGCGGCAGCGAGAGGCGAGCGAAGGAAAGCGCAATGCAAAGCCGCGGCGGCAGGCAAGCGTGCGGCAGCCTGTGCCCCAACAGAGTGCAAGACTTGGCCGGGCGGCTAGGCAAAAAACCGGGCAAAGCCGAGAAAAAGGTGCGTGGGTGCAAGCCGAGGCTGCAAAGCTAGAGAAACGAGCCGCACCGTCAGAAGTGGCAGCCGCCCTGGCGGTTTGCGGAAATCTTTCGCGCTCTCCTCCTCCGGCGGGAGACAGCGGCGCCCAGCGGTTAGCCCCAGGCACCTTTGAGACCAGAAAAGAGGGCATCCCCTAAGTAACCGCTAGAAGAGGGGCGCTGGTAAGAAGGGACGAAGTGTCTTTTGAGCATGTACGGAGTTCCTTACCGGCTGAATGACTACCAGCAGCCTACCCCAGCAAGAACATTGTTTTCAAGGAAACCTGAGCCCCTGCATCTTTCGTTGCAGACATTGTGTGAGCGTGAGAGAGCGAGAGCGAGAGCGAGAGAGAGAGAGAGTGTGTGTGTGTGTATGTGTGTGAAGAATGATAAATCCTGGCCATAAAGATGACCTTACGCCTACGATCCTAAGCATGGTTTCCTACGGAGTAAGCAAGCTTCACGAAGCAAAGAACAATGTAGCTCGAACTCTTATGTTTACAGAGTTCAGTGGGCTTACTCCAAGTAAACAGGAGGCGCAGCAGTGCAGCCTTAGGGTCCTAACGTTTTTGTTTTGCAATTGTTCACTGGCAGGTGCTACGGACGATCCATCCCAGAAGCAACCCAATAGTCATTTATAACGATCCATCTCCGGAATCTGTAGATGTGGGTGAGTTCACGTTGAAACCTGCCATTTACCAGTTGTAGGGTATCAACCTCTAAAAAACGAAGACCCAAGTCCCTCACATTGACTTTCCTCACATGGTAATCATCCTTTTATTAAGATAATCCTCCTGGCCTTCCCCAACATGGAGCCCTCCGGATGCCTCAGAGTAAAATACCCTTCTTCCACAAGCATTGAGGATTCAGGTGTTCTTAGTCAACACACCTGGAGGGTGTAATCTTGGAGAAAGCTGAAAGATCTCTTCCCCATTAAGATTACTTCTTCAGGACACATATACACTCACCTACAACATACTAACTGGGGCATGCTGGGAGTTGTAGGCCTTTCTGTCTGTATAGGCTGGCTGGGGCATGCTGGGAGTTGTAGGCCTTTTTTCCTGTCTAAGCCTGCATAAGATTGCTCTTTTAAGTGATTAAAATTACTCTGAAATAGTCAACTTAGAATGGAACAACTTTGTCTGAATCATTTATTACCACAACAATGTCTTAGTTTTCTGCTGTCAAGGAAAAACTTCTCTTTCCTGGCATCTTTCCTGTCCAGATTCCAACCTTCCCAAATAGGCTTCATCTTGCACTTCCATTGAGTGACCTGTTACTTTTTCCTTATAGCCTTTCCTACCATCGATTGGCAGGATTTAGCTGACTGTACCTCAGTCTTTCAACAGGAAGTTTCTAGAGTTACTGCAGCCCAGCAGGTAATTGACTACCATCATCTACATGGCACATTGTCTTGGCTTGGGGCCAAGAGAGACATGCTGTTATTCATGCAATTATGCTTGAATTAGTACGATTATTATTGGAAATAACAGATGCAGACACCATTTGGATTAGGGCAAAATGGGCTTTAACTTTTGCTATGCCACAGTCCTAGTTTGGATGCTATTTCCTCTCCATTCCATCCCATTGCCCTTGCAATTTCTATTGGAAGGGAAATTAACTCACCAAACTCTCACACGGCTTGCATCTACACAAACAAAGGCAAATTCTCAAATTTAGGAATTTAGCTGTTTTATTTAGGAGATAGTATTGATGTGTTTAGTAGGAGCAAGTTCTCTGAAAAAAAAAAAAAAAGCAGTCTTCAACTTCCTGTGAACAGAATTGGCATCTTTGCTACTGTGCTGATGCTATGGTGAATGCAGAGTAAAATTCTCAAACTGTGTTCTGATCTGAATTGGAAAGTGGAATTGATTTGAAGTGAATGAACTGAGGCACACACAGTGGAGCTTAGAATTTCCAAGAACAGTTTCTAAAAATGGGAGCTGAAGCCAATCATTGTTTTGCACTGGAGTAGTATATAAATACTAGAAATAAACTGGAAAGTAGTGCAGAGGCAGTGTGGTGTAGCAGGTGGTCAGGGACTGGGGAGACTCAGGTTCATGTCTCTGTTCAGCCATTGCAGCTTGCTGGGGGGCCTTGGGCCAGTCTCCAACTCTCAGCTTAGCCTACCTCACAGGGTGGTTATGAGGTGGGGAGAATCATGCCTGCTTTCTTGAACTCCATGGAATAAAGGCAGGATACCAAAGTAATAGTACACAAGTAATACATACAATGAGCAGAATTAAACTGGACAGACCAACCCAAAGAAATATGAATATAACCTTTTCTGGAATGAAAGAGTATGTAGATGAGATCACCTTATAGGGCTGCAATCCTATACGTAACCTATGGGGAATAAGCTCCATTAAATAAAGTTGGGTTTACTTCTGAGTAAATGCACACAAGATTGTGTCCTTGTGTGGTTGGAAATTGTGCTGCCCAATCCTATCTCTGAGAGGTTTATTAAACTGAAGTGAGGCATATAGATATGTTAATAATGTTTTCTTAGAATTAAATCAAGCTGAACTCATTGGGTCTTGCTCCCGGAAAAGTATACACAGGCTGATGCCTTCCTGAAGGCATAAATGGGATTTACTGCTTGCTTAGGCTGGTAACTACATGGATCCTAGATTCTATCTAGAAAGAAATTGGTGCTTGCATCTTCCCACTGTGCATTCCTGATCATTCGAAATATATTCCAGGAGCGGCAGAAGCCATTCCTTTACCCTAACACATGCAGTTCATAAACTAGTGCAATTCGTTGTGTGTCTACTCAGAAGTCAGTCCCATACTCTCATATTGCTGTTCTGAGAGCAGTAACGAACCTGTTATGAAATGCATTTTAGCCAGTGTTAGTCCTACTTAAAAAGACCCATTCAAGTGACTTGGACTCAAGTTAGTGATGAATAATTTGTCCTGTTCCTTTCAAAGGGCCTAGTCTATGCAGACCTAACACTGAATCCAAGGCAGTATTCCCCAACCTCACAAATGTGTTGGACTACAACTTCCATCATCCTCAGACCAGGTGGTGTGCTGGCTAGGGAAGATGGGAGCCTTAGTCCAGTACATCCAGAGAATGCCTGGCTGAAGAACCCTGCCTTAAGTAGGATTTTCAACAAACAAATCCACCGGTGCTTCACAGGTTTGAAGCCCCTTCTGAGCAGGGCCATCTGAACAGCATTATGGGCCCCGGGCAAAGCAGTGTACTGGGGCCCCTACGACAACTACAACTACTGTTAATTTTGGAAGTTTTCCCATTTTCCAAAGGTTAACATACACAGATTAGTATGGGGCCCGCGGGCAAGTGCCCATCAGACCCTGCTTCGGAGTAAAGTTCCCATCACACTGCCTTTGTTACCAGCTGCTGCGTCTCATCCTGGTAGTTCTTGCTCGTTTGACGGACAGAAAGCAAGCGGCTGGTGAGCAAACACCTCTTCGCCACCACTACCACCTGGGCCATAGCAATCGGCTGGTGAACAAGCATGAAGGAGCAACTCTGAAAGGCCGCAGTCCGTGGGCCCGGCTGGAGCGTGCGCTCCCCACAAGGGTCCAGGAGAGGGGGCTCGCCCGCCCAAGCGCCCTGCGGTGCGGCAGAGGGGCGTGGCCAGCAGCGCGGTCCCTTTCCAGCCACCGCCTCGGCTTTGTATTTCAACTGGACTGTGAGGCTGACCAGCTCGCAGGGCTATGATTGGCCCGTGGGGCCAGCCAATGTGCTCTCGTTCAGTGCTGTTAAGGGAAGGCGCAGCGGGTTCGAGTGTGTGTTGTGCGTTGCCTTTGTGGGGCCGCGGGGACCGGCGCAGTGGGTTTCCTTTGCCCACTCCTCTCCTTTCAGTCGTAATTGCTCTTTAAGTCAGCCCTTAGCTGCCACCGGCACTACTGGACAGAGAAGCGCTTCCTTGTTTCTCTTCGCTATGGCAGTGCAAGCCCTCTACCATTATCTAGCTTGGCCGATGGATTTTCAGGTGGGCGTTTGAATGTGGATAATGAGCGCGCGGAAGAAAAAAATGATAGAACATGAGAACCGGAAAGCTTTCTTTTAATCCCCACATTTCATTTGTTTGTTTCAGAGCCCCTGCTTGCAAGTTGAGCCTGATTTTGATTTCCAGGAGTTTCGTGATGCCGTGGATAACTTCATATCCGGCAAGTTTAGTTAAAATTCCTATTGGAGAAAAATGACTCCCGTTGAATGACTAGAACGGACTGTCAACAGTATGGGATCAAAACTGTACAGAAATCAGTTGCGGGTAGCCCATTCCTATACATGCTGACTCCGATGTAAGGGCCATTGCATTCAATATACCTTACTCATAAGTAAGTATGTGTAGGAGTGAAGACTTAATTGCAACTGCATATATTACAGTACTGTGAAGATGGAAGCATGCTGTATGCTTAGAGAACATCCAGGCACCAGATAACCTCTTAGAGGCATCCTTTCTAGTCTGACTGGGGTGGTAATGCCTCTTCTAAGAGGACACCTGCCAACTACACAAATATATGTTTAAAAGACAGTTAAAAACAAGCACATGTTTTGTACTCAGTTAATGGGAGTTTCTAATAGAATAAATGTCTTTTAATCAATTGATCAACTAAATGTTTCTGTTCTATATTTTCCATGCATGCCTTTTGATTATTGATCAGAGTAAGGGTCAGTTTAGGTACAATTGAGGCATCCCTTTCTGTATGTTCCTCTGCAGGGAAACTGATGGGTTCATGGAGGTAATTCATTAGGAAAATGGTGTGGGGAGAAGAGGTTTCTAACTTCTACCTCCAAGTGCTGTAGTCCCAATCAGAAGTGCACCTCTCTCCCACTCCTGTGATTGGTATTTAACTTCAGGTACAGATCTCCAGTATTGGCATCCAGCTTAGCCTGTAAAGTTGTATTCCATTTAAAGTTCTAAGTCATTTTATCCACGCTTAACTTGGAGTAGCTTCCAGTGAATACAAGAGATTTACATTCTAAGTGCATATTCAATGGCACTGTTAAACAGAGGTACAAATTTCACCCATTTTATTAGGCCTTAAGGTGTGCAACTAGCTGAAACACAGAAGTTCCATAATCAGGATCTTGCACAATTTTGTTCCAAGTCCAAAGGGGACAAAGGTGATGCGATTGGGACTAAAATTCAGTGTGTATAAGGAACTCTTTCTCCATGTACTGTTCTCCTTATCTGTAATCCATCCACCAGTTGCTTTTATTCCATAGTGGAACAGTGGTGGGGGACAAATTTCAATGGCCAACATGGGAGTGTGAGTGGGTAGATGAGGAAAGAGGAAAGAATGGAAATAATTAAAATTCTCTTCCTTGATGTTGCAGGGAGCCATGAAGGTTCCTATGCAAATAAACCACAAATATGTATAACTGGGTTCAAGATCTATTGACCTTAGCCACCCATGAAAAGGTATATTCACTTAAGTTACTTAACAGAAAATCCTTTCTAGTTAACATGGGCAATTGTTCTCAAATGATATGCAGAATAATGCAGTACACTGCTAAACCAGAGCAGGCCTGCATTGAGAAGTTCATGGCACTACACCTTTTTATTTTACTTTTAAAAATTTCTGTATAACCAGTTGTCTAATTTTGTTTAATGTTTTACTTATATATATGGAAGCTTTTAAACTGTTAATAAAAACAAAAAATCAGTGGACTCTAATTTCAGATCTCTTCACCTCAAGTTTGATCCTCAGCCTAGATTTAAATGTTATAATTCATTATGTACAGTTTTTGGCACAATCATAAATGGACATCATGTCAGTTGTGTAATTTTGAGTCTTACTGGTCTCCCTAGATCCATCTTCTTTGATGCCTCCTCTGCTGGATTCTGCTGATTTTTCCTTCCCTGTGGATGATGGAAGACCATTCAGCCCTTGTCTTCACCAGCCCACTCAGGCTGATCCTGTCTCTCAGATGACTGTAGAAAATATCTCTTCCACTGAGCAATACTGGAAAGACTTGGCTGATCATAACCAAAAAGCACTGGGGGATGCACTTGTGGAGAACAATCAGGTACATGAACCAAATGAATGTGCAAAACCAGTTACATTCCATCCAACCTGTGTTGCTACTTAGCAGCAAGAGACATGCCACTAAAGACATAGGTCACTAAAGACATAGGCTTGATGACGGTCTTTGAAGTAATAGTTAGAATAAATACAAGTGCTCTTGAAGTGAATTGCAGGTCAGAGACTTAGGTTCTGCTGAAGTTAACAGGTTTTACATGTTTAAACCAATGTGCAAATCAGAGTGGGGAACCTGTGTGCCAAAACACCAGGAGAGCCACAACTACAATCATCATAGGCAATGCTGGTTAGAACTGATCGAGGTCAATATTGGGATGGTGACAGTTTGCCCACCCCGGTGTGATTTGTCAAAAGGGTCCATTCACACAATTCATCAAAAGGGCCATTAAGAAAACAACATGTGCTTTCTTTCTGACCTTTAAAAAAATATGTGTATGAATGATACTTGGCAGCATGTGCTGAGATAGTTGGCCATGTGCATGTAATCATTCCAGTTTTTTCTCTAGTGTTCAGGTCTGTACAATCCAGTTAAACATACCTACAGTTGTATTTCCTTAGGAATCCTCATGGCTCTCTGGAAGCTCAAAGAACAGGATTTTAATTCTTCCCCTTATGATCTACCAGACTGAACACAGCATACTATTAGAGGTTTATTTAGGCTAACCAGGTGCATAATAAACCTCTTGATACCTGCCTGCAGCTGAATTACCAGATATTTGGTAGTTCTAACAACATAGCTGGTGGCTCTACTTAGTTTAGGGTGCCTGGAAATTAGTATGGCTGACTGGGGAGTGCTTGGAGGTTTTCTGTTATTACAGGTATAGGATGGCACCCTTGGACTTATTCCCAAGCAATTTTCTCCACTTGGGTTGCAAACTGATGTTGTTTATCTCCCAACAGCTCCATGTGACATTGACCCAAAAGCAAGAAGAGATTGCTTCCCTGAAGGAAAGAAATATCCAGCTGAAGGAACTAGCCAGCCAAGCAAAGCAGCTTGCCTCTGTGCTGGATGTAAGTGCTAAGTGGACTCTCCCAGCAGTTCTCTTCTGCATCATCTTGCATCTGGTAGTTGCAAGCACCAATCTGGAAGCTCACATGATGAAATCACATGGTGATAATGGAATTCACTCTTCACTTGCCTAGAGACATTTGCTTGCATGGGGCTCTGAATGGGGGTTTGAACAGTATCTCTGCCCAATGTTTGCATAAGTGTCTTGCTCTGATCATAGAATCTCCTAGAAATCAGTAAAAAGTGAAGGTGGCTACTTTGTCCATAAGAGGAAGAAAAAAAAATCAAAATTCATGTTAGTGGGCTTAATAAACAGGACATAACACTGTATTAGTCTTTGAGATCTCCACATCTCTTTGGGAAAGATGATGGAGAATGTGGAGACCTCAAAAACTTGCACATTTTTGTGAACTTTAAGGTTGACCTTACCCAGAAAACCATGCTTAATCATGGTAGGGTAATGCTATTTTGTTCAGGTGTAGGAAGGCTTTCCTAGAGGAGATCAACCCTGACTGCTCTTTAGAAGGCCAGATACTGAAGATGAAACTCAAATACTTTGGCCACCTAATGAGAAGGAAGGACTCACTGGAGAAGAGCCTAATGCTGAGAACAACTGAGTGCAAAAGAAGAAGGGGACGGCAGAGAATGAGGTGGTTAGATAGAGTCACTGAAGCATTTGGTGTGAGCTTGAGTGGACTCCGGGGGATGGTGGAGGACAGGAAGGCCTGGAGGAATGTTGTCCATGGGGTCGCGATGGGTCGGACATGGCTTCGTGACTAACACCAACAACAAGGAAGGCTTTTAGTAGCTCATTCATAGGGGGTGCTGTTGCTTCAGAAAAGAGGCCCACTGTTCATCATGCTTTCTCCAGTTTTGCATATACAAACTAGACACAGAGTTAATGACTTGCAGTGCTTGTGATATTTCTTGGCAGAAGCTGATGCTGCCACAGTGCAAAGACAGCACCGAATTCTCCCTCGCCAGTGGTCCCAGCAAGAGGAACCTCAAGCAGGTGTCTGTTGCCGAGCAAGAGGATGATGTGGAAATGAATGAAATCTTACGGGAAATATCAGAGAAATGCAATGCAGCCTTGCAGTCCATTGATGACAACAGAAGCCCAAAGCGCCCTCGTGGAGAGAGTGAAGCAGTCCACATGTATGGTGCTTTCCATGGGTTGCAGACATGCAGCAGCCACAGCTCTCTGGACTTAAGTGGCAGTGAACTTGAGGAAGGGCTGTCTTTCAGGACGTCCATCAAAGAGCATAGTAACATCCGGACACTGGCCTTCCCTCAAGGCAATGCGTTTACTGTCAGGACAGGCAGTGGAGGCTATAAGTTTAGATGGGTCCCAAACTGATGAAAAGGGATGCAAATCAGCTAACTACACTTGCCTCACTTTCCAGTGACTTCTTGCCAAAGTTACAGTCCTTTTCATCTGACAGTTGCCTCTGCTAAGTCATTTTATGTTGACACTTGGCTGATGTAAACTTGAGTTCCTAATATTTAGCTATATGGAAAACAAGGGCAGCCATATTGGCTTTAAGAAAATGTAAAAATTCATATAGTGTAATAATGTTTAGTAGGACAGCTCAAAGATCATCCCTAAATGCACATTTTTTTTTACTAATCTTTGAGTTGACTAAACAAAAAGTATGTGTGTTTCTATTTTTAAAAATTTAAATCTTAAGGGCAGGGAAGTCCCCTTTTTCTGTCCTAACCTACTCCAAAGAAAAGTTGTAAGAATGTTTTACTTCTGTTTTGCCTGTTTTGGGCCTGAATACTGAAATTGCTAAGTAAATAATCATATGAAAATTCTTGTTAAGGTGATACACTGATAAGTCTTTCCCACAACTTCATTTTTGTGGTCTGATCTGTGGTCCCAAATCTGAAGTGGAGGCTGTGACCTCTTCTTTCTACTTTTGCAGCATAATTACTAATCCTTGTTTTATAGCATTTGGTCATTTCCTCATTGCCACCACCACTTGGTAACCACACAATTAATTGGGAATACGCTATTCCTTTTAACTGTTCTGAAGCACTAAACACAAGTTTTCCTCTGACCCATCCACTTTTTCCTGCCAATCTGCTTTTTTGTCAGTGTGCCCAGAAAAAGTGAAGCACAATGCTAGGGTGGCCAGGTGTCCTCTTTTATAGAGGACTATGCTTTAGTGAATCCACTTTCCTTGAAGGGCTGTTCTGTCCAATGTCAGTGTAAAGATCAGAAATCCTAGGTGTCTTATCCATCAAAAGTCAGCACCAGGCAGCAGGCTGAACGAGCAGGAACACACATACCTGGTCTTCCACACTGTGATGGGATGTATTTCTGTTTAAATGATGGTAATTCTCTCTAAATGTGAATATATACATATAAGTAGCATTTGCAAATGTTACGCTAATTCCTGCCCTCCTTTGTTCTTTTTTATGATGATGCATCTTTGGGTGGAATGGGGTTTGATCTGCCACTTTCGGATGTATTGTCTCAGTCATAGTCTTTTGGTCATCTGGCCACAGTCTTCTCCCCTGTGGTTGAGATGAACTGTATTTTTATCTAAATTATAAAACTTTTAAATTAGCACATGTAAATATTGTGCAAATCACTGTCCTTCTTTGTCATTTTTAAACATTTCTTAGTTCCTGATGCCTGCTGTTTTCATATCTCTAGAAAGCCTCTAGACTAAAGGCATTTCTGGACAAGTGAAATAGTCTAGTAGCTGAAGCACAACCTTTCGTTTGTAGCATATGCTGCATATACCACACTTACACTGTCCCTATATCAACTATCATAGTTCTGAGGTTCCCCAGGCATTGGGGTTACCTACTTCAGCACCAAAGTCCACACCTAAGAGTGCCAGAGAATGGAGTTTACTTCTGTGTAGAAGTGTATAAGATTAGAGGACTGTAGCCTAAAATGTGATAGTAAAATTGTATAAGGCAGCAAGCAATGCAATAGAGTGGCTTTTGTGAATTGGGATAGTGTTGGTGGGCTTTTCTTTCTTCCAGCTTATAAGTAGGTATGCATCCATGGTGGGGTTGTAATTTTTGCAGGTGCACTTACAAAACTGTAGGGCACCATTTTGGTCTTTCTGTGGCTTATTTTATTTTTAAAACATTCTTCTGGGAAGTCAGGAAGCTGCCAAAGTAAGAGCAATTTTTGTGATCCTCATTTTGGCTGCTCCCCCAGGATCCCACATGGCATCTTGGAGGGGTGTCCCATGGCTGCCCCTGTATTTTTTTTTTACTGTGATTATGTGTACAAATAATTGCACTCATATGTATTTAATTGATCATATATGTTTAACCATGCTTATGCAAAGAGAGAAGCTGGGGTTAAAGGGGGTGAAGCCCCCTTTTTAAGCAACAGCACAGGAGCGGCATGTGAAGTGCAGGGAAAAGAAGCTACCATGACTTCTTTCCTCCATGTATGTGTGGTTTGTTGGATTTTCATAATAGAGCCGTGCAGCAAGCATGGTTGTTTGCTTGTTTGTTGCTGATGGTAGAATGAAGACAATGAAAATGTTACTGTAAAGGAATCTGAAATACTGAAGATCAATACACTTCCAGTGATCTTACTATGGTTTGGTATTTAAAAAAACCTCTAAGTATTGAAAGCACTTTAAAATAGTAAAGGGCTCATGATAGCAAGCTGAAAAGTGTGGCTTGTTCTCCCATCCCACTGGAATAGTTTTGATCAAAAGCTGCCTCCCCTTTAAGCAGACCTCTGTTTTTAAATTTTATATGCTACTTTTCCTTCTGTGCAAAATGCTGTATAATGGTATGGATTTAAAAAGCAGATGGTAGCACAAAGGGGTGAGCCTTGGAGTCCACTAAAGGGAAAAGAAAGCTTCGCTATTTTTGCTGCTCTGACCAATGGGAACCACAGAATTTTCCTTTCAGGCGCCTTCTTCCTTCCCCCCTTCCCACTGCCACTTGTCTTTTTTCAAGGTTTCTGTTGAAGAGAGGACAGTCAGCTGCCCTATGTAGTATTTCCTAGTTCTGTAGGTTTTGAGGGAAGCAAGAATGCAGCAGACCTAGCGCTCACAGAAATGTGCCACTATTAATAGCAGGGATCTGATATTAGCTGCTACCCCATCAGAACTCCCTGTTCCCTACAAGCTTAGGTGCTATCCTCACAGTAGCTGTCAGGAAAATGAAGGTCATCAGCACCCATGTATTATAGCTTGTATATAGCCTGAAGTGCCTGATTCTGCCTAATCTTGGAAGCTAAGCAGGGTCAGCCTGGATGAAATCTGGATGGGTGACTTAAATGATGTGAACTGCCCAGAGAGCTGTAATGTGGTGGTGGTCGTGGTGATGATGATGATGATGTTATGGCCTATCCCACGGGGGGGGGGGGGTGCCTCAGCACTTGAGTGTCCTGATGCATAACTTGTATTATAGGCAAGATACTACAGCTAGAATATGGAGAAACAGAATGGCTTCCCAGGGGCAAAGGTGTCAGGCAAGAATATATTTTATCTTCCTATCTGTTCAATCTGTATGCAGAGCATATCATTAGGAAAGTTGGATCAGAACTGGAAGAAGAAGGAAGATTGGTGGAAGACTCATCCATTATTTAGCCAGGACAATGTGGAAGGCTTTCATTCATGGGATTGCCATATGTCAAAGACAACAGCAAATAACAGCATCATTATCCTTGCTGTAATGCAAAGAATTTCCCGCTAGCTTAGCAAAAGATTTTCTGCTACAGACCCAAACTTCTAGAATTGGTTTATGGATGCAGCTGCAGCTTGGACTATTCTTGGGAGATATGGCTTTGGAGACTGTCATAATGAGCACCTGCACGTTATAATTTACCATTGTACCAATTAAGGAGAGTGTGACAGAACTTCCCAGCTTGCCTGTTCTAATGCCAAGATGCTGCCAGAGTTAACACTGAGATCCTTGAGTAACCAATGCACAAAACTTAGCAGCTTGAACTGGATCATGGAGAAAGCTATGGAAAGGACCAGAGGGGAGGAAGTGGAGCCACTATTAGAGTCTATAACAAGCAACAACATTGGCATACATTATGATGATGAAGATGATGATGACGATGAGCATTGCTTTATAAATGTATACATGTAGGATAGAGTCAGTATTACTGATAGATAAGAATTGGAAGCAGTATATCTCTAGCTAACCAATGCCCATGGATGACTGCCTGTTACCCTCCCTAAGGCATGTGGCTGTTAGAAGATGGAGAGCTGGATCAGATGGACAAGTATTTTCTGTTTTGGATGTTAGATTGTTGGGGCGTATTGGGTGCTTCTACCTCTGCCCTTGGTCGATGTTCTATAAATACTAATTTTCAGATACTGTAAAACTGTCCTCTGTATATTTGATACTTAATTTCTCATTTATAAAATGGACATTTAAAAAAAGTTAAAACTCTGAAAATCTTATAAATACAAAGGCTGACAAATGATAAAAATATTTCAAACAAATTCATTAAGATCAGACTGTAGGATGATTTGTGGTTGTACTCTACAAAAACTTCCCTTCAATGGCATTTGGTCTTGGTGAATGTGAGGCTCAGGACCTGCATTGGGCTCTGAAGTTGACAGTTGAATCCTACAGATGTTTATTTGGCACTGAGTCTACCCTGTTGTATATGGTTTACTCCTGACTAAGCATACGTAGGATTGCAACCTAGGAGTGCCTAGTATATTATGTAGCAATCTTGTTTATTGCAGCTCCATTGGTGTTATACCAGATATTTCCTGCAGAATACATGAAGAACAAATGAATGATCATAAACAGGAAGTGAGTACTTGCTGCAGTGTGTCCAGTGCATGTCAAGTTGCAGAAATGGAATTATTTTTATTATAAGACAACCTGCTACAATCGATACTCTATGTGACTTGAGTACAGTAGTCCGCATGGTGCCATCATGATTGGAGTAACTGTTAGCTCCGACTTTTTTCCTTGATCTAATTGCAAGTAATGGTTATTAGGCTTCCCTTTTTGTATTTCCTTAGATGTTTTTAAAGGAAGGAACAAAGCACGTCCCACCAGCTTTGGAGAAAAGATAAACCATTTCCAGAAGACCTTATGTGATGGCAGAAGCCCTTTTGATCTGTTCTAATCTCTGTTTTACTCCTTATTTGCTGCTGATCTTTTGCACTGTATGTTTCTTAAGAGACAGCTGATGCTGGGAGGGTCCAGATGTGTAGGAACTGTTGCAACACTGTAGGTGGTACCAGAAATGGTAATCGGCTCCCCCTTGCACTAACCACCTGTTCAAACTCTCTTAGCTAATGCCTTCTTATTTTCAATATTTACTTCACGCTCTTCAAAAAAATCTTCGGGGAAATCAGGATTGTAATTGCCGTCAAGTTTATTCACACAGCTGAATCT